AAAGTCCCCAAAAAATTTCTACCTGGAAAAAGGACTTGGTCCTCCTCACTGGTACAAGGAGGGGCTAACAGTACTACGTATTTACAAAGCATGGTATGTCCTCTTATGCTATTTTGTTTCCTACAGCACTGAAAAACTTTAACAATTTAGACAATTTGTTAGGTTACAAGTCTGTTTTAGACAAATTTATTTATTTTTAATATCAGATTAAACGGTTGAGCCATTTCTAACAAGGAGTATAGGGAAGAGCTGCTGCTGGGAGCTATCACAGAACAGCAGAGCTAAGACTGGAAATCTTTTCTGTTCCCTCTATAGCACTCTTCAGCAGTCCACCAAAAATAATTTGATTTAAATGCAAAGGGAGTAAGAGTGGAATGAGGCTGAGGGATGAAAGAAGATGACAGAGAGCTTGGTAAGAACAGGAGAGAGGAAGATGACTGACTGGAAGCTGGAAGGGGGCAGAGACTGGTTGAGCAGGAGACCGGGGAAGAGCATAGGTCTGAACTGTTTGGGCAAAGAGGCTGGAAGATGATGATGGTCAGAGAGGCGAGAAGAACGTATGAAAAAACACTAAGGGAAACACATGGAGAGAGCGGATGAGAAATTGAGGTGCAGAACTGAGCCTCACTGGCTGAAGAGAGTATAGGCCAAGAAACGGGGACGAATCCAAGCAGGGAGACTGGTAAAAAGGGAAGCAGAGAGCACTTTGATACCCAGAGCGCTGTGGATAGACTGGCACTCACTGGAGCTAATAAGAGAAAATGAAAAGGCAAAAAACAGTGGAAGGAATGGAAATACAGAACTAGAGTTTTCATATACTTGAAGGAAGCAACTGTTTAGAGTTTTACTGGTGTTTTTCCTGCCACCGTTTGTTCCTTTTTATGTATAGCTATTTTGGGAGAAGGGGATTTCTATTTCTACGTAGGTTCCTAAACCACGTTTATCACTATAGTAACTGTTGCAAATAGAAGCAGGACTGTTTGCCCTTGGGTGGTGTATGTATGATTCTTGTTGGACTGATGCTTTAAAACAAAATTAGTCAATGCTAGAACTACTATGCAGCACAAGTTTCAAAACATTGTACACAAGTAAACAGAAAATTAACTTGTAACTTGCAATTATACTAAGCACATATAAACAGAAAATTAACTTATGGTTTTACTCACTTTGGTATAAATGTTGAGCTGATTTTTATCGTATCTGAGCAGAGAATCTGCTTGAAAGAGGTCCTCTCTAAGTCTGGTTTGTACTCAACTGCACTCAAACCTCATTTGTCACCAACATCAAGCTTTCAAACCTTCAGATACAGTGCTGGAAAGCGGGGTCACATACCCACTATTATTTAAAGCATCATCACATTTCTACTATTTAAGTGAAATAACCACACTGGGAATGGCTGTAGAAACTCAGACCTGTTGCTCACACCGAACATCTCACAAGAGCATTTTAGGATAGGGCTGTATGTGAAGCCATTGCTGCTAGCAGAAGCAAAGTAATACCACTCAGCTGTTTGGAAAGGTCTTCCCTCGTCAGAAGCAGACGCAACTGGCTGAATTGCAACTTCTGGAAGAGTAAGAGGCTCTTTGGCATTGCCTTCTGTCTGGCAAGGTCCTTTGCACAAAGGTTCTGCTTCTTGGTCCTAATTCCCACTTCTTTAGGAGCTAGTAGATGTTGTCCTTCACCAAAGCCTGACTTGTCTAAGAGCAGTGACTTGGAGTTCCTAAATACCACTGGAGTCAGAGTTGAGCAGAAGCCATTTTTCTCACAGAAGGAAGATGTCGCCTCAGAGGCAACGTCCTCTGACTTTCATGCATTTGGCAATCAAGGGGAACTGAGATGTAAATATTGCTCTTTGTGAGAGGCTTAGCTTCTATTTTCTGTTTAGTTCTGAATTCAGTGGTAACAGGAGCGTATGCCTGACATGGGGGCAAGTGACTGGTTTGTTCCCATTCTAGGCAACTGCTTCCTTATTAACAATACACTCAGTGGGAACCAAAATCTCTCCTCTGACATAAGCAGCGCAATTCTAGAAATATCTTCAGTATCTTTGCAATATAAATGTTCCTAAGAAGGCTTAAAATCGTAGCCACTTTTTTCCATCCACTTTGATCATTAAGATAGAACTTTAGTTGGAATCAAAATTCTTCATGATTTAACATTTACTAGCAATTTAGCTTTTGAATGCCCAGATGAACATTTTTTCTTACAAACTCTGCTATCCTGAAAGTGTCAAAGTAGGGATTATCTGAAGCTAGTAATCAGGGTGTAGGAAATTTTTACAATAGTTTTGTTAAAGTAATGAACTTTTTCCTTCAACACACATCTTCAATGTTTTTTCCAGAGATATCTTTAATAAATATCACTTAATAAGTACCATTGTTGTGACACTCACTGATGTTAAAACCTTTGACCTTTAAAATGTGGACCCACTCATATTAGAAAGTGACAATGCATTCACAAATAAAAGAGGGCTTTTTTTTTGGAACATCACAATGAAGAGCTGCGATCCAGAAGACAGATAAATTAGCAACCTTGGTTCCATTTTGAAAACTGTCAGGAAGACTAATCACAAACTCCAGTGTTTGCAAAGAACAGTTAATTATCATTTTGAAAACCAACTTTCACAAACAAGGAATTGTAGCAGAAAAAGAAACTTGTTCAGGATAAGCAAATAGCTTAAGTTTTAAGGCAAGTTCATGAATCTTTGTCACATTTGTGTAAGTGCCTTGGAAATATCACAAGTGTTAAAATAAAAAGGTTGTCATCTTGAAATACTTAAACACTAAGACACAGGCTCCTCCTAGTGGTAAAAACGGAAGGATTATTCATTTTGTTCTAAGAATCTTCTCACGCTACTTACTATTACCAATTATTCTCAGTTAGTCCTCCATTTGGTTCTGGAAAGTTTAGAAGCCTCTAAGTTCTTACTGCTGCTAAGGAATTCTTACCTAAGGATCAAAATAAGTGGGACATGACAAAACACATGCAAATCACCGTAATTATTTTTTTCCTCAAAAGTGAAGTTTACATACCTATCAATGCTTAGGAGTAATGAAGTGAAGGTGGAAAGGATGGAAGACTGCATTCCAAAAGACTTATGCTCTTATACCAATTCTAAATCCAACCTCCAGATCTGCATTTGGTATCCAGAGAACAGCAACAGTATTTACCAGTGGAACCACTGCACAGCGTGCCTTTTCTCAGATGAATACGCTACATTCCCGCAGTTAGCAGAACACCTGCCAAGTCACCATCATCAAGTACAAGAAAGATTTTGTACATTTCAAAAATGTCTTCAATTTTGAAGCCAAGTCAGTTGCTCTCACCTGAAGAGCAGAAGCCCAGTGTCTGAGGTTGTAACTGATTCTTCCTTGCCATTGAACATCAGGCGCTATAACTATTTAGCCACACCTGTTCTTTTAAAAAATTCTGTCAAAAGGGACAAAGGGCCATTTTTATTATCAGGCCCTTTAAAAGTCTTATTCTGGACTGAAGTTTCTCAGCAGTCTAGAGCATACAGCACTTTATGTAATTTATGATTTTTAGTCACAGAAAAACACACTTGCAAAAATACAGCTTCTACAGGGAAAAAAAGGAGCTGTATATAGTAAGTGATGCTGTGCATTTAATTATTTTAAACTCTAATCTCCCCCTTATAATTTTAAGTTAACAGCTTTGAATATGTTAATAGGCATGCTAACATAATATTTACAATTTAAAAATTGTCTACTTAAGTGGCACCCAGTATTGCAGTAAACGGAACATCTATTGTAGACCAAAGTGATTTCAGTCTTAACTGTGCTTGTAATATAGTAGTACCAAGAATACTACAATTGCTAAAAATTCAGATATTGCTGTAAGAAAATTTACAGTCTCACAAGACAAAAGAAAGAAAATAAATTAAATACAAAACACGCTAATTTCAGGGTTTGCCAATTTCAGTTTTGCTTTTATATTAGGAAAGGATAAAAAAATCCTTTACTTTTTGCTTCCATTTGCATGTGTGCAAAAAAAATTCAATATTTCAGATGTGTCTGTTTTCCCTATTCATGTTTTTCAGACAAGTTTTTTTTTTAAAGACAAATTACATGCATGTTTTGATAGAAGAAAAAAACAAAAGCAAGTTTCAACTGCTTATGTGGAAAGAAATGTAGATTTTCCATTGATAGTCTTATCTTTTTCATTATTTCATATATGGTGCATGATGTATTTTGTATATAGTTACATTAATTTCAGAATAAGTTGCATCAATAGAAAAGCGCAGGAGGATGAAAACCAGTTGCTGGTTGAATGACATTTTATTTTCACATTCAGACAGCTGTACAGTTTCTATAAATAGATGTGGTACTATAATATTTACATCATTTCCTCACCCATTACTAGTGCATTCCATTCAAAATGGTAGACACCCTGACCAAGCCAAAACAGGGTTATTTCTGGGTGCATTTATTCAGAATTCTACGTCAAAACATACATCAGTGTGCATCAGAGCATTTTTTCCAAGTATTTTACATGTAACATTATTTTCTTTAGACAGTCTCTCCTCCCAGCATCCTAAGAGCTTTCCAGACAAGTGCAGTACAGTTCAAAAACAAAAAGAGGATGCAAAAAACATTTCTATTCAGCCTACTTAAAATAAGGAATGTGATGGATAGTTTTAACTGTGGGAGTTTCATTATACATGAACACAGTATTTGCAAGATTCCTTGATATACAGGTACAGATTGGAAAAAAGCAATAGCTTAAAAAATTTGGAGACAGCATAATCCTTTGGGCTTCTGAACATGTTCAAGAGATTGCTATAGAAATATCTTGTGTAGAGTATAGTTACAAACCCGAAAAGACATGGGTCTGCTCTGTGCTTCTGCCAATAATGTTTTCAAGTTTTACATTTCCTTATTAGTTTTCTAATCCCTGATTAACTGCTTTAGGTAGTGCTTATATGCATCTGTTAACCTCTACTGCTGGGACATCTACAAATGTTACCTAAACTCCCCTTTGAAAATCCACACAATCCATGAGGTGTCAGGGTTTTTCACAATATACTGCCTTCAAAGTTCCTCTCTCCACTTCTTTTCCCACTTGAGAAGCAGTCATCTCCACAGATGGACCAATTTAATAGCCAAACTTCAATTGTCACATGATATTTTAAGACTATGGTAGCTAAATTGTTCATCTCTACTAAAAGGGTCTGAAGAACTATGTGACAAGAACTCCATGTTCGTGGGTAAAAATGAACAACACAGAAGGAAAACAATAAAAACGCTACATTTAAACAACATGCAGGACCAGACTGCTTCCACTGTGCACATACCAGAAAATCTGAAAGCAGAAGCCTGCAGTTGCAAAGTGATTGATCTGTAACAAGTACCGCTAGAAACAAAAAACCAACCAAACTCAAGCTGTTACTCATCTTAAGAAAAAAGAAATTCCAAACAAATGGCCAGAGTAGGTCACTCACAGCTGGATGCTGATGCTCAAAACTGTCTGATTAACAGCTTATATAAAAACTCCATTAAGGATGAATTCAGAAGGAGACTGAGCAGTAAAGTCTTAGGTTTTTCTATGGGGAAAGACTTGCAGGGTCATACATGAATAATCGAGTTCTCATAGAAGACAGTAAAGTGAGCTCCGGTAACTGCAGTAAAAACGGAGTACTGCACATCAACGTGCCAAAGGGTAGGTATTTCCCAATATCGTGATCAACTGGAAACTGGTCGAGGTGGTTTGCTTTTGTTTTCTGCCTCTTTTCCACGAATGGCAGCCACATAAGAGAAGAGACACAGCACGGAGTAGCAGATCTCATGAGCCTACAAGAATTTAGAAAAGGAGATAATGAAATTCAGATGACTTAGTGCTTTACAAAATCCACTGCACATTTTGTATTTTGCTGCATGTCTTCCTTCATGGGACAACTACTGTGGCTACAGACAAAATCAGGAAAAAGTGTCCCATAGTACCTTATAACGGAGATGGATAGAGACAAAAGCCTTATAAACAAATAAAAAACCTCCTTTGGGATAAAAACATTAATTGCTTGATAGTATGATTCTAATCATTTTTAAGAACAGTATGCTAAGCTAGAAAGTTAGCCAGCTGGCTTTAGAAAAAACATCCTACATATTTGCTTTGGGACTGTTGTATGAAGTTACAAGAAATTTTCTGGGAGGGGTTGAAAGAGCTAACCAAAAAGATTAAAACTAAACATCCAATACTGTACCTTGACTCATGAGATGGTGGGATTCTTCCTTATTCACAACTACCTTTTTATGCTCAAAAGCACAAGGACTGGTAATCCTTGTAATTTTTAACTAACACTAGTGAATCCATGGATAATACAAGCTTTTTTTTTTCCCCCCTCTTTTTTTTTTTTCTAAATTAAAAAAACCCCACAACCCAACATTGCATGTTTCTTATGAAGAATACCAGGCAATTTCTTCACTACCTTAAAGCAGAGGGTTTAACATAGCATTAGCAAGATTTACAATTATTGTTTTTTACAATTTTTTTTTTTAACTGATCAAGTGCGCTATTATTTAACAGAAAATCTTCTTTTAGTGTGCGACTGGCAGCACAATTCAGTGAAGGTAAGACTTAGACTTAGTTTATATCCTAGTTCTAATACTGGCTATTCTGGTGATCTTAAAAGTTCTTGTCCTGTAAATTGACATTTATAATCTTTGTAAAGGTAATAAGCATAACAACGTGTTTTGTTGTATTATAGTACAAGCTAAAACACTTATGTAAAATATAACTAATTTTCATTAAACTGTCTTTTCTTATTAAAAGATACAGCTATCTGCTTCTTAAATTACGTATATTCTAAGCATTTTGTTTCTAAAACATTTCTAGCTTCTTCAAGTAATTTGTCTCTCTCTCCTCTTGAAGGACTGAGTTTCCATGCAACCACCAGATGTACACACTGCACTTCAGACATAAAATAACTGAAGACAGTTCTGATGATAATCGTTGGCTTCTATTTCTTCCTCATAAGTGCATATAAGCCTGATCATTGAACTATTATGTGTAAAAGTGCTAAGTATCGTTATCAACTGCTGGTGTTCAAAAAATGTTATAAAAACTGAACACTAAACCACAGCAGTAACTCACCTATATGGCAGGAATCAATACTTAACACTGTTCTCTTGCATCTCACTGCTCCCTTTCATGAGGAAATGGGAATTTTTCATAAACTCAGTTAGCAATCATTTTTATGCGCAGGAACTAGTCTCTCTTTCCATCTCTTCTGCGGATTAAGGATTGTGTTCTGCACTGTCTTAAATTGAACAGTTCCACTCTTACTGTGCTAAAGTTCATGCCAAACCAGCTACCTTGCATCTTTATCTGTCTTAACAAAAGAGACCTGCACTACCTGCACTACCTGTGAGTTCCTTTAGTTTCATAGAAACAACCATCACCAAGTTTTGTTGTCTTCCCTTCAGAAAAACTATCATAAAAGAGCAGCTGGTGTTTGACTGCAGGATTTGCAATGCTAATACTGCAATCTCAGTGTAATTCTTTTCGCCACATGAAAATGTAAAGATACATCCTCTAAAGAACTACCAGAAGGCATCACAGTTGACTCACCATTGGCGTCTTGTACTTGTGGCTCACCACTTCTTTAGTTTCAGGAACTAAAACCGGACGGGCAAGAGACAAAACAAAAAGTTCAAAAAACGAGAGGAAAAGGGGAAAGAAATAGCACAATGTTCCCATAGGAAAGGGAAGGGATGCACACAGACAGCAGGTGCAGGTACAGGGCATCTCACTATCCCTCACTTCTAGATACTCTTTCTTCTCTTCATTTACATTACATATGTCCTTGAAGATACTGGTAATGTCATAATAAATTACTCAGGTTGGCAAAAATATTTCACTGCCTCTGTTTGCAAAACCATAGTAGATATTTGATGGTTCTTAGAGACTCTGGCTTTTCTCATACTACTTATTCCTGCTAGACAGCAAAATTAATGACAAAATATGCTTAATGTCTACTATGATAAAACATAAACCAACAATTCCATAGGAATTTGTCAGTATGTGATTCCCAAAGATTTTATCCTTTAGATGTTTGAATTCTTCTCTGCTGAAAAACAAATCTCAAAAGAACTGTTGGACACTCTAGCAAGTTAGTGAAATCCAGAAAAAAAAAAGGAGCTGAGGGGGAAAATTTTCTAAACTGGAAGACTATTTCCCAGTTCTATTTCAAGAGTTTCTCAAGACATTCTTTCTCCTGTCTAGGATGTGTGTGATGGTATTTACTTGACCTACTCACTGAAAGCGTTCATTACTTTTGAACAAGTTGCCTTAAAATAAAATATTATTTCAGTTACATGTATTCTTAAAATACCAGGCTTGTTGATTTCTAGAAGACTTTATATATAAAGAGGATTAGGGCACTGATGAAAAAAATCTATTATCCAGAAAATTTCATCTTGCTCCCTTGCACTGCCTCACACTAACAGAAAGGAAACAGGCACAATATAGCTAAAGAAAATTTGCCTTTTGTTCTCATTGTGGAATGCATAAAAAGCAAGCTGTAACCATCCCATTAGTGTGCATCGCATCTGAACTGTGCCTTTGACCCACACTTGGTCTACGAATATTGTTGTGAACAGATACCATGGGAAATCACCAGGAGAGAACAAAGACGACACTAAGAACACACAAATGGCAAATTTAAAATGTTAAGATCAATGGAATACCAAGACCAACTTTGAATACTTCCCTTCCAGAATAGCTGAAATTTGCCATGGAATTTCTGTGTCACAACAAAAAAATTTAGAAGAAGCAATACAGAAATTACGCAAAACCAAATCATACCAGGTTCATAGAGGAAGAGTAGATGTTTTATTACACATAGTACCAGTGACAAGAAAAGAAGCAGAGGCAGATGAGTTCAGTATGAACAGCTAGGAAAAGTCCACAACGAAACCTATCCATGCAGATGTCATCTTTCCAACTATGATATGACACGGCTGAACGCTGGAGAGGGAGGCGGATCACATTCTAAGGGGCCAAAAGTAGGCAGTGCAGACTGGGTTTGAGAAAGTACTCTAAATACAAACCAGTGCCTACTAATTCTCATATGTCACGGTATTGTCATTCTTGAAAAAAATCTACTGAAAAGTACACAATATGACTGTAAAAAGTAATGTAGTATTTTTGTTTAATTTTTCAATTCTCTCTTTTCTTGGAGTTGGCAGTTACATTAAGGACTGAGAAACAGGTGAAGTGCACACCCAGGCTGCACTGCCCCAGTGATACCAGTGACTAGAGTTGGGGAGATAAGAAGGTGCACATCCAAGCTACCTTACCCGTTGGCACCAGATGTTCCAAATTAACTCCATGTCACCAGGGGATAAAGGTGGGAGTGAGGTTTGTGCACAGCCAAATAGGGTAGGACTTTTACAGCTGTTTAAGTCTCACTGCCCACTGGATAACATACAACTGTTCATATACTCTTCAAAAAGCAGGAAGGGAAAGCTGTAAGGACCTTGTGCCACGAGGGAAGGAGAGAAGGGAAGCTGTAAAGTCCTGTATCGTAATTGAGAACAGGAAGAGAGGGAACAGGAGAGCACCTAGGCAAGATACTGTCTCCCCCCTTCACAGTCAGTAAGTTGCCTTGTCTTTAAGTAAAGTACTCCTTCACAGTCTTCCAATGGGGAAAAATTCTCTTGAGAGGACTAAGTTAGGAAGAGTAAAAAGAGTGGGTTTGGATTTACACTCAGAGAAGTCAAAGCACTACTGCTGCAGAATACAAAGAAAAAAGAAGGGGAAAAAAAAAAAAAAAAAAAAGAAAAAAAGACCCAAGCCTCAAATTAAGAGATTAGCAGAAGCACTTTTCTTCTAACATTAAGTTATTCCTGATGCTGTTGAACTAAGTGGATGAAGGGAGTAAATTACCAAGCACCATCCTGCAGCCTTTGGTCCTGTGAATGAAAATATGGCGCTAGCATAGAATGAATTTAGGGGACATCACTTTACCTGCTGGAGAATGAAGGTTTTCATAGCAGCGGCGGTGAAGGGGCCACAAGAAAGTAAAGCACAAGTACACAGCAGTAACTCAAATTCCAGAGGGAAGAGCCTTACATTCCCTCACTTACTTAAATCTCCACTTCCATTTTTGGGCAACAATTCCTGAACTTCTGCTTGCATCCTGCTCTGAAATCACAATTCCAACTTTCATGCTGCCATCTAACCCAGCATTAACACAAACAGACCTTAAATTTCGTGCTGCGGTATCACTAAACTTGGAGCACTCATGCTTGGCAAAATCAAATAAACAAATCTTGCAATGAAGTATTTCCCATCAGACTGGAGTACGCATGCTTACCACACTCTACCTTTCTAAGAGGAGATAGTACTTCAGTATACTCCTGCTATAATGAATCTGATTGCAAGGTTCACAATGTTTAACACAGCTAAATAACTTCATTCTTAAGAAGTCCACGCAAGTTTTTGGTGAATGCTGTTAGTTTACTATTAACAAATTAACATACTAATTTCTTTTGAATGGGACAGATTGGCATATCTTCTCATCTTTATAACAATTAAAAAAGCAGCTCTGAGGCAGTCTCTCATATCTGCACAAAAAGAAAGGTTAGCTCCTCTGCAACATCTTTCTTCCTTTCTTCTTTCTCTTTATTAGCTGGATGGGCAAATTGTAAGTCTCATCTGGTACATTTAAATTACATTTAAATTGGTTCTTGCCTGTGACCTCTATTTTGGGAGGAGGGTATTTTTAATTTAATTGGTTTAATTTCTCAGATTTTGCTTGTAGTGTCCAACTCCTAGTTTATTTTTAATTACTTCTTAAAATTACCCTTTCGTAAGTTCCGTATCACAATTCTAGCTTTTGCAATAGGCCCTTGATTACAAAATTTTCTGTTAAAAAGTAGTTCTTTTTCTTACAGTTATTACAGCCATTATTTAGGGGCTAAACGCTGTATTACAGAGTCATCAATAGAAGTTGACTGGATATAACTAAGTCAAACACTGTCTATCTTCTTGTGCAATATAAACAAACTATTAAAAGAAACACTTTGAATTAAAACCTCTCAAAAAATGACCCAAAATTCATTTCCAATCCAATTAATTTCTTTTAAGTTAAAGATTTCAGAAGCTGAAGCCATTCCTTAAGCTAATTTTATGGCTTCTGAACTCTCATCTTTGTAAAACTCATCAATAATCTTTTACAGCCTTAAGCAATTTCTGTAAGTAGTAAAATGAATCATGCCCGTCAGGGTGAAAACATGGTAGCAAAGGAATATGCAACCATAAACTGCAGACAACTTCTGAACATCTAAACTATTAGAAATTTTTCAGGGTTTAAATATGCTGATCTGATAATTTGAACCATGAACAACATTTTCAGAAAACGGGAAAAAATTGTTCACAAATTCAAATCCCAAACTTCTAGGAGATTGATTTACAGCAAACAAGCAGCAAACTGCAATAGTCAGAAAGGCTTTATCATTTGAATACCCTGTAACTTTGTAACACCGAAAGGAGACAACACATTGTTATGGACAAAGACATTAATTTCAGCAATCTCATATTAACTGTCTTTTACATTCTAAGAGAGAATCCCTCAGCCAGAACATTCTATTCACAGCACCAAAGTACAATGAGAGTCACGGTAAAGTGAGCTGCTGATTTAGATTTTGATTAACGGCCAAAGTATAGATGCTGATCTACTATGGAAAGAATGTTGTAAATTTTATCTTCTTTTTAAATGTTTCGTACATATACTTAAGACCTAAACAAATGTCTCACAGATGGGTGGAAGAATAAACCAATGCAGGTTTGGGGACTATTTCAAGAGAAGTATGTGGATCACTCTTCTGGAGAGCTGCATCTGAAATCACTCATTTTTTTCAGACACTAGTTAAGTATAGTGTGACTGACGCTAACACTGAATAGTAACCCAGAATTCTCCCCAAACTAGACTGTAGACAGATTATATGTAATAGCAATAACTGACCAAAATAGCACAAATTGTCTATTCTCCTTAGCCTTTACTTTTCCACTCTTTACCAGTCATACTCTGGAACAAAAACCACAGGATAAATAAAGTGTAACCTGACAAAACATCTTCTGCTCCATACAACAAAAATGAAATTCCACATAAGAGCAAAGAAGAAACTTTGCAATTAACAGTAATTCTTTGTAATGAAAGCATAGGGTGTTGAGAAAGATCAACTATAAGTCCTGCTTAAAAATGTGATTTCTCAGATGAAAAAGGAATATACCAAAGACAATTCCTACACACATCCAAGTTTAACTGTTGTTTTGTTTGCTTCAGAAGACTCAGAACATCTTCTTTGCCTATTACCAAAAAGCACCTAGGCCACAAATGTTAACATGATGAAAATTAATGTGTAAATTTTTATGTTAAGTCACCCATCTCTTAGGCAACTTCTCACGTGCAATCTACATTTCTCTCCCATCTTTGAAACTGCAGTGCAACTCTGAATCTGAAGACTGGAAATTTGAGTTACTGCCATGTGAGTACAGACCTAGTATCAAAATAATGTAATTACCAAATTCCTCCAGGACAAAGACTCCTCGCACAGTATTGCACTTTTTAATGTGATTCAGCTCTATGAAAACCTACAAAAACAGGAGCAAAAGTAACATAAAATTAGTCAGGTTTGTTTTTTTTTAAACTAAAACTCAAAATTAAACAAAAACATCATCACAGCAGATACAACCTGAAGTGTTGTAGCATACACTACCAGTTCATTTACAGTTTAATATATAAATAAAGGGTGAAATAAACATTCAAAAGACAAACTTGCCACAATGCTAGAAATCAACAAATAACTTAAAAGTGCTAAGAAGCGAAGACAGCAGAAGATGAAGTACCTTCCGCTCCTTGCAGGAGGAGAAAGCATGGAAGAGAAACGAAGGAGTTAGTAACTCTGACATATCCAACATTGCTACCCCTTCAGGCACTCAAATGAGTTATTGCAAAAAGAATACCAACACACCTGAAATACAACAGAAGAGGGGGACGAGAAAAAAGCTGGCTCCCAAATTTGGCACGATTTGTAGCCTCTGATCCATCCCAGTTAGTTTCTGCCCCTCCATGCATCCTCCTCCAGCACAGAGGGCAGGTAAGGGGCACTATACTTCCCACCCTGACACTGATCCTCCTAACCGATCCAGTAGTTAAATCTAATCCAGTGAGGAACCACTAATCTTCCTTCTCCCTCAGAGCCTTGCCGTTTAAGATTTTACTACAGTTTATGATATATAATCTGCATACTTACTCTTGGAACTGTCTCCTTTAACAGTCAGTACCAATTTTCTGCTTTAAGCAGGATGGGAGTGTTTGGACCCTTCTCTATTGTTTGCTCACTTCACATATGGTTGTTGCCAGCTGAGCAGTCACTTAGAAAACAAACCTGCTTTAAACTCATGTTTTACATACCTGAACCCCAAAAGACAAAACAGTTGAACTACATGACTAGGTTTTTCAGTCCAGAACCAAGATGCCAAGATTGCATGAATAAACATGAGCATAAGGAGTTTGTTCAATATTCAATCCATTTCAAGATACAAAACAGTCCCTTCTTATACGCACATCTCCAAAAGAGTCAGAGTCAGTACACAGACATAAGAATCTGTAGAAAGTGCTATAAGGAATCAATTCCATATTCCAGTTTCTAATATACTTGCTTTTTCAAGGCAAGAGAAACACTAAGAGTAACATTGCCCTAAATTCAGAGTAAGCCTACGTCCAACACCTTAGAGAGACCCTTGCAAGACTATATTACGATAGTCTGGATTGCTGCTTTCAGTGCCCATACACTTATGACACCATGATCTCAGGACCTTTTTTTAAAAATGTTACTAGAGAAACTTCATTGCCTTGGAAAGAAGGGAAAGGAAATCTCTGCAACTCTTTTGAATCCAATACTAGCAACACCCATGTAATCATAGACGATATGCTACCCAAGAAAGGCAAAGGAAGTCAACACCAGAAATTGTTGTGTTTTTTTTAAGAAACAGGCTTGACTGTATCAATAGAGATCAGTAAATGCACCATACATCTGAGAGAAGTCAGGTTGATTTTCAAGTCAAAAGGGGTTTTATTTTTTTTATTAGCAGAGAACTAACAAACAGACGCAGGTTATTTTTTGCTCAATATAAAAACCTAAACTTTCACTTACTTAATCAGAAAATCTGAAGCTTGATTTCTGCTTACATTCAAGCACTCAGGGAAAGGAGATTTAATCCCATCTTTTTTGTTTGCCTGTTTTTGCCCATGTTCTATGTCAGTTTAGTTGGTCAAAAAACATTTTATTTTTTGAGGAAGAGTTACAGAGTAAACAAGTCAATAACAGAACACTTTCTTTATTGCACTTAGTTTCCTTTTTCTGTAATATTTTCTGTGAAAAATTTTTGCTAATAGTCTAAAGTACAAAGTTCAGAAAGTCAATAAAAAGGCTCAGGTGAAACATCGGTTGTTTTATCTGGTAACAGTAAAGCTGCCTAAAAGACTTGACTGCCCCAGGTGCTCATGATCTGAGTATAATGTTAAGGAGTGTTGCATTTCCACAAGAGTTATGAGCGAGATGAGAATTTATCGACTGTCACAATTACAGTAAGTTATCAATTTTCAGAAGACATACGAGTTGATGGGCAATTTCTTGTTATATTGTTTAAGGGACAGAGATGGTCTCCTCTCACTCAATCAGAAAACAAGCATAAAGGAAACAACAGTTACTTACCCTAGGGAAACTGTGGTTCTTCAAGACAGAGCATTCAGTGTGGATCCTACTGTAGATGGGCATGTGCCTGCTGCATTTTATTAAATTTCCATCTATTTTTGACACAGTTGAATTCATAATGGGGACAGAGTTACTGAGGCCCAATATTACAACATAATTTGTAGATGTAAACTCAGAATAGTCTGCCAATGCCACAGGTACACTTGATTCCTCCCTATTCTAAAGGACTTCCTCTGACCTGCTGGGCATAGATAGACTTGAACATTTTTTCTTCTTAAACTTATGTGCTCTGCCGACATGGTGAGACAATTTGTGAACGCTAAAGACAACTATCACGTGTCAATAATAGGTTGGCTCACCATGCATCTAAGACATTTCCTGAGGAATTCACAAGGCAGTAAGAAAGTATACACACTGCAAATCAAGAGCCTTCAAAAACAGTTTCATGAAAGCAAGGACCATTCTAACACTAACGCAGCATGTTCCGTCTTCTCAGGCAGGACAGAATAGACTCCATTTATCTTTTTTTTTTTTTTTTTTTTTAAAAAAGTGGAAACCCTTCCACTTCTTCTTCCTATGGAAACCTTCTTCCTATGTTCTAAATGAATTATTTCTATGATGTCCAACCAAGCAGAGCAACAGAAATCCCTTCTTTAGTAAGTTGCATTGCTGAAGAGAGCCCTTGGAAAGAGGGCCAAGAACAGAGCCTGTATATGGAGTAAGGAAAGGAAGATGAAGACAAAGCTGTGCCTGATGAGGTCCTGTAGGCATTTGTTGGTCAGTATCCCGATCCAAACTCAATAGAAACAGAAAAAGCTGTTTTCAACACAGAGAAATGGCTGTAGGATCCTAGTTTTAATCATGGTCATATACATATTCTGAAATCAACTGCCTTAGGGAGCAATTCATATAATTTATATGAAAATTGGAAAGGAGAGTTCATCTAGAACAGCAGACCTTTTATTAAGAAAGCAGACTGCTTGATGAGTGTTAGAATAAGAATGCAAACATCCTTTAGCTCCAGAGATTATGAAATTGGAGGGGATTTTTTTTGTTTGGTACAACTAGTAGGAGTCCTTTACATAACTGCTACAGTTGTCCATTCTACACAGACCCTCAAATGGCAGACTTTTGATACTTGTCTAGACACTTCGTTTTGAGAAAGAAAACAAGGATATGTCTTAGGTCCACTAAATGGTACTGAATGCCCTTGCCAGCTGGCAATCTACAAATTGTAGATCTAACAGACCAAGAATTAAACATATTGAATAAATGAAGTATAATTTCCAAAACTGTACCTGTTTCAATATCCATCTTAAGTAATGTAAACTGATCTGGCTACAGCCTCGTTGGAAAGGTGATGAAGAGGAGGAATAACCTTTCCAGTGGGGGAGACAGCAGGCATACTTTCTGGGTCTGACCTGCACAGTTTGTCTTCCAGAAAAGATGTAGTAATTTTCACCACGGACAGCAAATTAGAACACCATTCTCTGTAAGGAAGGATATGATAAAAGCTAGCACTCTAGGAGTGCTGGTGGTAGCACAGGACTTGGTATCTGTGGTACGAAATTCAACTGGTAATAGTCCTGACAGTCGTATAGTAACAATCAGTACTAGGTTTCCCTAAGGCTTCTTTCAGAATGTCATTCCAGTCTTTCAGGGAAAAAAAGGCTTTGAATTTAAGGACAAGGGTATGTTCTAGGATTTGGAGTTTTTCTTTTGGACAGATGCATGTGTGCTCAACCATGTTCTTAACACTGAGTGTCTTTGGCTTGTGAAGATGCCTGTTACACTTAAGAAACCATGATGATGATGATGTGGCTACCTTCTTATATATCTTTTCTCACTGCAAATGCATATATGCCTGGGTGTTCATTTATGAAATAGACTCACCTCCATAGACTGTTCAAGAGATGAGCACTTTGAGCTCAACACCTTTTTTGACTTCTGGCAGAAGAAGAAGGAGAAGCAAACAGAACATACCCTGTGGTGTGTCCTTACCTTGGCACAAAGTAATTTCTATTATGTCTGTCTATAATGATATCAAACTGTTGCTTCGAGAGCGGGGTTTAATTGTCAAAGGCTTTAGACCTGCCATTTCCAATAACTATGAAAATTCATTCTGTACTAACAGTGAGTTCTTCTTGCAGTTCTTTGTATTTCGGCATATCCAATAAAAAGTTAAAATCTATAACTAAGTCATACAGGTAGACTGTTCCATCACAGAGTAGGTTTGAAATACTAGAGCAGGTCAGCTGTAGTCCAGGTTCTACCCTGGTAGTAGGAAGAAAACTGAAGGAGGTTCACAACTCTCCACTCCTTATACTGGCACATACGAACTCAAAGAGGCACATGGTGCTGCTGTGACCTTGGGAGAAGTATTAAAGATTCTGAGCATGTGTGTTTGAGATGCACGTGCACTTCCAGTGGGATCTACACTGATGTATCCTCAAAGAAGAACAAAGCTTGTGTGGGGAGAAGAGTCTAGTCAGGAAGAAAGGAAAAAACACTCCACAGAGGACTGACAGAAGCTTTTCTTTCTCTCTCTCACACACACACACACTTTCTCTCTCTCTCTCCCCCTTAAAAATCAATTCTACTGTCTAGCATAGCATGCATTTAATATCATATGCAAAACAAAAAAACACAAAGCAAAATAAAAAACAAGGATCAAAGGAAGCAACAGAAACAACATCCAGAGAAAGGAAGAAATGACAAATACAGTTGTGTTTCCTCTATGCCCACAAGATCTGCTATTCGGAAGGAAAAAAGAATGAGTAATTTTTTCTTATTTTTGTGAATTACAGCAAGAGCCACTTTCCCATTTTATTTTCATACTAAATTCTACAGATGATTTCTCAAATTTTAAACCAAGACAGATTAAATATGATGCAGAAGGTTGCCCTCTGTTCAACATTCAAACCTGCAATATTCAAACACTGTATCTTTAAGGCTGGCTGCTTATGCCATCAGGATATGTTCACAGTGTGATGCATTATGGCAGTTTAGATTACTATTGATCACTTCTTCTGTCCCTTAATATACTGGCTACCATTTGTTTTGTGCTTAGACAATTCAGACCACCAGAAACAAGAAGTTGAAACCTGTATCAACGTTTTTCTTCAGTTGATTATAGTTTTCCTGAGGATACTTAATTTCAGTGTAGTTTTACACACACATATACACATATTTTTGTGTGTGTGTGTTTGTGTGTAAATATACATATGCTTTTTTACCCCCATCACACTATCCCTTGTCCCTGTTGATACTCTGGGAAGAGGAAACACATACAGGCGTGCTGCAAAGACTGTCATGCTCACAGTCTTCTCACATATTTCCCTCATACCTGACTGTGCATAAATTTCAGGTTAATTCCTTCCAGTGTGACCTGAAGAAGACCTCCTTCACCGGTTTTCATATCCTGCACAGGGAACTCACCACCCAACTCAGGGCCTGTGACATGTTAATTTAAAAAAAAAAAAAAAAATTCAAAGAAAAACAAACAAAAATATCCAGAGAAAGAGACAGAGAAAGAAGAGAAAGCAGTCAGCCAAGTAATGATATGTGGAAGGGATATCTAAAACAATAAAAACATAATTTCCATTTGATGTGCATAGCAAGAGGACACTACTAAGAATAGTAGGCAGCATTTCCGTAGAGTCCACTCACTAATGACAACCTTCTGAGAACCACTAGACTTTTAGGTATCGTAACAAATTTCATCCTGGTTACATGAAGGGACATCAATGTCAACTCAGTCTGTATTTATTGTCGTTCATATTGGGGTTTTGTTCGTTTGTTTTAAATGCCACATTTCATTTCTGCATGGTAAGACACTGCAATTACATAACACCGCAGACAGCATAGTCTTAAGTACAAACACATAAGCAAGTACAAACTAGGCTTGCATTTGTGAGCTTGATGAATTTGTATGGCATTGTTTTATGCTTTCAACAATGAAAAAGTCAACATGGTTACAATAATAACAATTTAATAGAGGACATTAATAGATGACAATCTAGGCATTTTCATCTAGTTTCTTTTACATCATTCAGTTCAGCTAGAAAATGCTTTCTTATAATGATTTTTAAAAAATTATCATTTGTGCAGAACCACTGAATTCTGGAGAATGGCTTTCAAACACATTTTTAATACTGCATTATTGCCCAATTCTTAAAATAGCTTTCAAAGACACTTTTTCCTCCTCTACCCTCAGTGAAAGTCCAGTCCTTCCTCCCCCTCCTCAGATTAAATTGGACTAACGGTAGGAGGAAGAAAGTGGTGGCTCTTCCAAGCTCCAACAGATAGCTGAGGGTTGAACACTTAAGATGTTAGATTTAAACAGTCATGCTGATGCCAGTTATGAGTATAAAATGTAGATCCCTTACATTTGGCATTAAGACACACCTAAAATAGGCTTGTACCTCAAAGCACGGCTCTCAGAGTCCTAGCATCCACTTGAAAAAAAAGAAATCGTTGCAACAAAAATCAAACTTTCAAAAACATGAAACCACAGTGATGTTACCCTGAACCTGCAAATAGACTCCAGCAAGGGAGAAACAACCATCTTATGAAGGTATAAAGTAAGGCACCTTCATGTTTGTTACCCAGGTACATACAGCACCTGCTGCTCTCTGGGGACTAAGAGAAATGGAAAATTGCCTTCCCGAGAACTCAATCTCCCAAAACTGCAAATCCACTTTTCTAGGTTTTTTGACTCAACAGGAAAAGGAAAAGGGTGTTTGCCAAGAAAAGTTTCACCAGTATAATTACACTATTCTGTCCCAGATGATGATGCTAAACTAAGAAGAATGTCTACACTGGAGAAGTTTTACTGATATAAGAACATTGGGTTAACTGCACCTTTTGACTTGCACCAGAAAAAGACTTTCCAATATAGAAAAGGTTTGTGCATTGAAAGTCTGCAGAAAGTGAAGCTGAAGTTGCATAGTCTTTTCTTAGTTATCATTTTACTGGCAGCTAGTCCTCCTTACATGTCACTCGTCTTTATACAGGTGTTTTGGTTTTGTTTCTGGGTGAGGTATATGTAGGCAAACTAACGATAACACTAAGTCTGCTACGTACACACGGATGTACAAAGCTACCCTCAGACTTCCAAGTAAAAGGAAATTATATTCAAAGAAGTTATTAATAAAAAAATTTTGTTGATTGCAGATTAAACAACAAATGCTCCTAATAAGCAAAATCTTGTACCTGGTTTAATGCTTTGCTGTCTTGCTGCTGCTCGCTCCATACTGTCTTTTACACAGTAGTATAATTCCCGACACTAACATATAAAAGAAGAGTAATACAATGTTATTTTTCCAAATTACGAAGGGAAAAGAAGAGCAAGATTCTAAGATTCTACAAAAAGAACAAGCCCCATGTGGTGCATAACAACAAAAAGCCTGTAAAGGTTCAATCACAGCTAATTACTAGATGGTATTTCTATTTATTTTTCCAGTTGACAGAGAAACTATTTCATATAATTTCATAGCACTAGTAAAGAGTTCATGGCTTGGCACATGCTCATGAGCAATCTAACCAAGTTTACTCCATTTCCTAGTGTAGAAAAAGCCTCAAAACAATACCACAATCCCTCCCTTTCTTTCAGCTTCTAGCAATTAATGTTACTGGTCATGCTCTTATGATCTATCTTTTTGTTATTCGTATCAATTTCCTTACAACACATTCTTCTATTCATCTTCCTTCAACTCCCCTCTCTAATATCAAATAATGTTAAGCCATAATCTCAGAGTAAAATTTAAGAGAATTTCTATCCAAAGGCCAAGATACATACAGTTAGTTTTCCAAGTAACTTCTGTAGCACGCTGCTTTTGTCCTCCTTTCCTTTGTATTCACACCTGCATTATGATGACCTGGTCTATGTAAAATGAATTTTTTGAAGCAGAAATCTAATCCCTTTATGTATCTCAAAGATAATAACCTTTCAATATATTACTTGCATTTACAAATCTTTATATTTTCTTTGCTGGTCATTGTGTAGGAGTTACTGGAGTTCTAAGAGTTACTGGAGTTTTCCTAGTAGGTTTAAGCTATTTCTTTACATTTGCAATTAATCATAAGGAGAAGAAAAGGGCTTTCATATTAGTGAAGAATGTAGGCATATATGAAATAAAAATCAAACATGGGCCCATGGAGAAAAATTTTTATCTATTTTGTCAGTTTGGGTTTGCCATTAAAAATGACGCAATTAACTCAATTACTAAGACATAGTTTTATTTACCTCTTTCCCCATGAATCTACCACAATATTTTTACTACCTTTATAAGCCTGCAAGATAATGCAATATTTAGTAATACTGATGCTTTCCTTCTTCTAACAAAAAAAAAACAAGTAAAAGCTACACATGTAATTTCTTAAATTACATCCTGCTGTACTACTTTCTTCAGGTAAATAACAAGGCATAATGCCAGCTTCAGATGTCAGTGCAGTTAAACAGCCATTGCAGTTCAGTAACCAGTGCTGGAGAGAGAATGCTATTTTTTGATTAAACATGGAATATGACACACCAAGGATTTGTTTTTTCTATGTGGCTTTCAGTATTGTGTGTACTAAACAAGACACGTACCTTCTTTGTGTAAAACTTGTTCAGTTGTGTCTCCTGACCATTCCTCCGCCAGAGACACAGCACTTTTGTTTTGGGACAGTAAGTCATGTTGATGAGTTTCTCATACCACCAACGTTCATATACAGTTCCAATGTTGCTTCTCAGCACAATGCAATCATCACATACCTGGGAGCACAAAATATTACATAAGATTTCCAATATTATTTATTGAATGCTACTAGTTGCATTAATATTATTCTTGTCTCTACCTCCATGAAAAATATGTCTCCTGTTGTGTCTGTCCCAGCATGTACTACAAAAGTCTGCTTCTTGATGTGACGGCTGCCGCTGGGTCTTACAGGGAGTTCCCGTCCATTCTAGAGAAAAAAAATACGCAATCATTAATGAACTTTGAAACCAATTTCTCCTGATCTACTGAAAAAAAGGCCATTAGGTGACACTAGAAGCATTTTCAACAAATGAAAGAAAAAAGAAGTACTTTTAAACAGCTGATTGGAGGCAACAAAACCTTAAGCGAGATACTCTAGTAAGTTTAGTTTCAACAATTGTGACTATGAGAATTATCACAGCATACAACAACATTCACGCTGGTACCGTACTCAGTATGGGATAGCGAGGTGTCTGGATTCCAGTAACATTGCAGTAAACTGGTCTGCTTTTTTTCCCAATTAATTTTAAGATAATTTTGTGTCCTTTCTGTGCATAAAAGTAAGTTCCAAATTTAAAAATGCTTTGAAAAATTAGCTTTCTAAGGGCCTTACTTGCATTGACCCTGGTGATGGTTGTATTAAAAGCTGGCTAGTTTTATTAATGTTAAGTGTTAGCCTATATTCTTAATGAGCATTACAGGACGTAAGGTTTATTGTGCACGGCAGCTGACAGTGGAAACAGTTTTGTATAGAAACTGATTGCTACAAGTCTTATAATGACCTGGAAACTGATGGAAAACTAAACATTTGTTACAGTCCTAGTAAGAATAAAGATTCCCACCCACAAAAGTGATATTAACAAAATATTAGGGTTGCATAGAACTGTGGTACTGAAGTGTCATGTTTATACGTATTTGTATTGCAGTTCTAACTGATAACTGCATAACATTATGATATCATAAACACGGTCATACAATCACAGTCTTTATTATACACATGTGAAGACAGTGTTTAATAATTCAATTTAATTATTTTTAATATTTTTAAATTAGTGTTACAGAGCATTTCTAGAAGAATTTTCAGATAATTTTTTACCTCCCACAGGTACATTACTCATCACTGCTTTACTTACCAGATTGGCAAGTTTGTCTAGAATATCATTTATTTGCTGGCTGTGCACCAATCCAATATGCGATTTTCCCATTAGACGACGCACCTTTTTCCTAATATCATTCTTATTTACCTAGAAAGCAGATATAAAGACAGTTACAGATTCTTCTCTATTCACAGGCAGCAACTCCTATCTCCCAAAATCAGCATATCTTGGTTTCCATTGCTAGGACAGCAAAACAACTGATCTCCAGCTCAGTCATGCTAGGGCCTTTTTAGCCCAGCAGTACAAATAGAAGTTGCACGTACACGACTTTTCCCAGCTACTGGGCAGGTGATACTGTGCACAAGAGATCTCCTGCCTACTCTTGCAGAACAGAGCAGCAATTGCACTACCGTCCACTTCTAACTATTGACATCAAAAGCCTCAGTTCTCCATGTTGCCACTTACGTGATGGGTGTCATCTGCCAGGCTAGCTTCTCCACCTCTTCCTCTGCAAAGAGTTGGTTTAGTCAACTGTAGAGCCCTCAACACAAGAAATACTAACACAAAGGCATGATACCTTTCAGAATTCTCACTCTTTCATGATCTCTTTCCTGGTCACTAGGCCAGGGCTCTAACATTTCCAGATAGTCCTAAAACAGCAGCAGGTTCCTCCTGAAGATGAACTACAGGGAAGCTCAGAAGCAAAACATTTCTGCCCCGGGTGCCATTTCAAAAGGCTGTTATGAATGCCAGCCATTGATACCAAAGGCTTCAAGAGGGTACACTCATGCTTGAGCACTGACTTCAAGCTAGATCAGACGTTCTTTTTCATCGTATTGTGATTATGACCTTAGTGCTATGGAGCATACAAAGCAAACTCAACCTGCTCCTTCCTTTGGCAAGAATTCTTTGCACTTGAAAGAAAACACTATTTTTCAAGAATTTTTTAAGTAAAAACTACTAGGCTCTGCTATCCCAAAACAAGAAAATAAATTAAAATACCAAGGTGTTGGATTTGGAGGATTACGCTTCCCTTGACAGCTCAGAAGAATTCACCTCTCTAGTAACAGAAGGCCTTCCAACTTTACAGTTTCTACTGCAAGCTGCCCTAAGATGAGATACCTTGGTACAGTATTTAGTCTCTTAAAGCCTTCACTCTATCTGCTTGAAAAAAATCCTGTATACAAATAATGCATACTAAATTCTAGATCCACCACCTTTTATCCCAAAACTGATAATTGGGGTGGGGGAAGTAACCACAACAATAACAAAAAAAACCCCCAAACCCCACAACCCTTTTTTTGCCCAGTTCTTCATCCTATCTCATTCTTAAGCATCTCTGAATATGCACTGAAAGAAACAATATTTTTTTCACAACTCTCAGATCCCCTGTATTCCCTTTTCATCTATAACCTATAGTGATAGCCCAGAGTGATATCATTTTCAAAGGTGTAATATCCTGTTTGCCTCCTTACCCCTTTCCCCCAGGAAACTGTTTTCTTGGGGATCTGATTATTTTCACCACACCAAAAGACACTCTTCTCCTCTTGGACTAAGTCTATCAACATCTGTCATGAGATAGCCTTTTGAAACCAGTATTATTCGCTCTCCTCTTATGCATCCTGTGATGAAAGTCACCGCACTGGTTATTATTACTTTTACTTTAAGTATTGCGGCAATGCGTGTCCTAATGGCCGAATCCCACAGTCGTCTTCTGAAATAAACTCATTCCAAATATACTCAAATCCCATCTTAAAACTTACCTTCGTATTCCATTTATGTCAGGAAAAATCAATACCTTCTTTCTCTCTCACCACTCTCCCCGCCCACAAAAAAAATTGCATACAGTAACTTCTTCCATTGGTTGGGTATCAGACTTTCTTTATCTGTGGAATGATGTCTCACCTCCTCATTTAAACAGTGAAAGTTACCAAACTATCACCTGTGTACAGCTATTCTTACTGTCAAGCTGTTGCACTGGACAGCACAGTGCATCAAATCTGTTACAGATAAAACCATGCACCTAAGCTGGTTCTAAACATGACAAAAATTTTAGAAGATTGATTTTCCAGTGACTTTGAGGGAGGATTTGGACTATCTAAGAAATTATTCAGACTAAAAGAAACATATTGCTAGTAGCCACCTTAGGTACATATAGACAGCCCACTGAATGAGAAAAAAGGGTTGCTTACTAGTAACGACAAATTTCATGTTAAGTTATTGACACGCATATTCACAATCTGCCCACGTTGGGAATTTGTGGCTGTGAGGAAATCAGATTAGAAGATGCTCTCTACTTAATTTATAACCTATATTCTTAAAAATAAGAATGTCCTCTAAAGTTACTAGTAGAAATAGTAAATTTCTATTTTAAATGGCAATGTATATGCATACCCATGGCACAGAACTGTGTAAACTTAGACAACATATCTCAAAGAATCTCCAGGTACTGAAGCGATTTTTTCATTAAGATTAGCAGATGTTTTATAACATTCTTTTATACTACACTGTTCTGAGCTTTGTGAACAGAGATGTATGGTTTCAAGACAACACCAACAAAATAGACTGCTTAAATCTGAGCAGTCATCTATTAAAAAGAAAAAGAAAAAAAGTCACCTTTATCATAAGCATATAAGCAATCATATTATGCAGCAGTGTAGCCAACAAGCGGTCCTCATCATCCTCCAAACGCTTTCGATCATGTTCTCCCAGGGAAAGATACCTGCAGGAAGAGGTAGATCTGAAGCAGACTCACAGGCATTCTTCATCCAATTCACTATTTGTAAAGTGTATAGCAAATAAAACCTCCAAAAACACTAAGCCAAATGGGCATTTTCCAGTAAAACACTGTGATCACTAATTAAACATTTCCATTAATTATTAACTAGTTGAAGTAAATAACATCTGCTCAGTGGGAAAGTTCTCAGTGGTCCACTGGGCTTATCCATTTCCTCTTTTCTGCTGTCGCAGCTCCATGACAATTACAACCGCCAGAAGAGGAACATACAACTCAGTGCAAGAGCTACCCGCCTTTAGAGCTTAAATGTAGCTGCAAGGCAGAAGTAAACTGATGAAGGAAGCGCACAGGCACTCTCTTTTTCCAGTAAGGTAGGTAGTTTGTGGAAAAAGAAACAGTTTACAAACTAGCACCCCACAAACATTCGTATTTTGGCTACCAGATCCCATGTTACATGATACCATGGGTGTAGGTAGTACAAATGCAGGTGGTAGACAGAGCAGAGGATGATCAGATATTAACAGAGCTGAGGGACAAAAAAAAAAAAGGCAAGCAGGTAGTGAAGATTGACACCTTAGAAGTAGTCTAGCTTTAAGCAACCACGCAGATATTTCTAGAGAGTGGTTCCCTCATAGTTTTTTTGTTTGTTTCTTTTAACTACAAACTGTGAAGTAAAAACGCCTGTAAGTGACTTCGCATTTTGAGAAGGCTCAAAATGCAGCTTCTGAAGACATTTAATTCTTTCAGTTTTTGTCAACACACTGATATCTTCCTTTATTCCAGAATATAGTCATCTTGCCACAGAAATCTCTTGCTTTATTACTGATCTAGTCTATTCCTTCTATTTATACTGTGATTATACTTACATCACCCATTTCTCTGGAAATACCACTTCTTCACAAGAGTTAAAAAAAAAAAAAAAAGTCACAACTGAAGATAGTATTTCAGTATCAGGAGATACTGGCCAGCACAGAGTCAAAAGGCTCACTTTGGAACAGTCAGGTATAGTAACATTTACAAAGCGACAACAGCATGTTCAGTAGAATTAAAATAATTTTTTTTTTACTATTTCAGCCCCAAGTGAAACAATGAGGAGGAAAGAGGTCTACTAAAGAACCTTACCTGTCAATCATCTCCTGAGGTCCCTGGTCCATCCCCATTCCTTCTCTCTCTAACATCACAGCATCCAAAAAAGCATCTTCCCAGAACTGCATCTGGTCCCACAAAGTTGAACGCTCTTTGCCTATGCAACGTATACAAAAATTGAGCATTTATTCCATTTACTCCAGTCAAATACTTTAAGATTAATTCCTGTTCCTTCCCACTCCTTGAAAATACTATAAGCCAACACACAATTAATTCATATTTAAAAAAAAAAAAAAAAAAAAAAGGTTAACTTTTAAATGACAAGCAATATCACACCGAAGAAAAGTATAAAAGAGAAGACAAGACATATCTCTCATTCTAATTCATGGCATAATCTTTTCAAACCCCTACAGAAAAGTATCGCTCATCTCTATTCTTTAAGGAGTGTATCTTCTTCTATATACTGTTAACACTGCCCGAAAGAGACAGGAATATCTCACACAAACACAGATCATGGCAAACACACAGAGAAGTGGAAAGATAAGATTATTACTCATAGAGAAGGTTTCCATTGCAGCATCCTCTAACTGGTCCCAGACAGATCCTTTATCCCTACCTGCACCATTCCAAGCAGGTAGGAACGATAAATGGAAAGGATGAAAAACACAGGAAGAGAAAGCTCTTGATTAACAGCAAGTCCAGATGAAATACATTTCAAAAAAGCCAATATACTCCTAACCCAAGGATACACTTGAAGGCCATTAGTATTCTGAGTTTATTAGCCCTCTGTTCAATGACTTAAGCTAAAGGATCTTTTTTCAAGATCAGTGATACATTTTAGCCTTCCACGCATAGCTAAGTAAGTTCCTTCTCTTTTTCCAACAGTTTAAAGAATTCATATTCAAGAACAGCAAGAGACTTGGACAAACTACATTTTATGCAAACTACATCACTCACAACCATCTCCTCTTACTCTTATTCAATCTCCCCAGCAAATCTTTGGCTTTACTCCGAATGGCCTGATGCGCCCCCCTATTCTACCAGTATGGACAACAGTAAGTGGTTAAAAACAGTCTCTCGGAATGTAAAAATTCCAGTCTGCCCCAGACATGACTCCACCTGAACTTCAGTCTAAAAGATCCCCTCCTTGCAAAAAAAAAAGTTTACCCAAAAGTCCTTCATAGAGATAGACACGTTGGTTCCCATCCTCTGGACCTCTCCCTGGAGTACTGCCTTTGCTATCCTTCACACTCTGCTTCAGGTTGTGAGACTTCGCCTGAAAATAATACAAGAGGTGTCAGACAATTTAACTCTGCGCCCTGCAGGTCTGTTTCTTGCAGTCCACTGTTGTACTTAACAGGTGCAGTTTGTAAGCTATGCTTCATAGATGCTTCTGACGCAAATGTTCACAAAACAAATAAATTACTCTGTTCAAAGAGCAAGGTAATACACTTAAAAGTCCAGAGTTAGACAAAGGAAAACCAAAGAGAGACAGGTAGAGAAATCGAAACACAGACAAAGCAAAATGCTTCCCTGAAAGAAAACAGACAAAACAAAAAATGCAAAGGAAAGAACTAAAGGAAAGAACAGAGTTAAACCTCTTCTGTCATCCCCCATATTTCATGCTTATGCAGAAGTTTGCCCAAATTCTAATAGTAAATCTTTCCCACTGTTTAGGAAATAGCTGAATATCACTGTCATTCTACAGATTGTGAGGAACGAAGGAAGAAATACGCAGCCTTCTCAGGATTACACAGAAAATGAGTATTCACAAGCAGAATAAGATTACCTGAGCTCTACCTCACATTCAGACGTTACAGGTTTTTCTTTCATTTACCATTCATAAAGGTATGACGTTAAGCAAATGATTACATATCATCTGGTCTGAAGAACTATGTGCTGGGAATATCGGCCAGCAGGAACTGTGATAACAAAGCTGCCCCATCTATTTCTCTACCACCAGGTAAACTATGGTGCGATACTTGACATTCATCATACATCATGTACACCCATCATCTTTTTTCTAAATCTATTGGAAGGGTTCTTAAAATTCCATTTAGTTTCATTAATCAAGTAGAAAAACACAGAAAACTAAGTGTTTAAAAAAAAAGTCTAACTCTTTAGCAACTGAGAAGACACCCTCTTGCAGCTAAATAAGCGGACACAGTTACATAATTTTCATGCTTTTAGAAGAAATCTGCAATGAAGCACAATGATTTTGTTTGTTGCTTAAAATTAGAAGTAGAAGCCCCGTAAAGGCTTTTACAATCTTATCAGGATTATAAAATAATGAACACAGTGAGACCAATCTTAAGGCATTGCAAGTTGTTTTCATATTTGGCTTATGAAAACAAATTTAGCCAAATCGAGTATATAATTATTTTCTTGGTAAGATGTATATTAGAAGCCATACCCAATAATCAAGGACTTTAAAAAACAAAATGAACAAGAAGTGCTCTCAGATCATTTGAATTTTACTGTATACAGATCTTCCAACTGTAAAGAAGTTGGAAACTAGGAAAAATGTTTCAAAGTTATGATTACACTTCAAATAGGATTAAAGTAATGTTTCAAAGAAACAGAACAGCTGCTAAACCTACAATGGGTCATCCCTTTCCTGTATCAAACAGCTGCTCCTAAGAAACAGGGGAATTCGTTCCTCTTAGTTAGGTAAGGTCGAACAATGCCAATCAATGCTGTTTTGCCTCTGAAGGGCAATTAAATGTCCATTTGGTTGAGAGAAATATTGAATGAGGGGGAATTAAATATTGCTAGAGCCTGTAACATGGTACGAGATGTGAATCTGCTATTCTCAAAGAACCATGTATTGCACAGGAAATGAAGAAAGGTACGTGGATCCATACAAAATTACATCTTTAACATTTTAATATTGTAAGTCATTGCTGATTAACCCTTAAAACAGAATCAGAGATCCTCTTCCACACATGCACACACATTGAAATGATTACTGTACAAGATTTAATTAAAAAAAAAAAAGAAAAGAAAAATAAAAAAGGGAAGTCTGCAATGCCCTTACAAAGATAGTGCTAGTAGCAGAGTTTGTCTCAATTTCACTGTCTGACACAGTGCCTCTGGATCCTGTCAAATTGCCACCATTTTCCACACTCGGGCCATCACCAGCATTGCTACTCAAGTCACTGTCTGCTCCTAACGTCTCTCCGGAACTGTTACTAACCTGTGGAGAAAAATAAAGCAGTTACCTTTAATAGACAAAGACACTGTGCAGAGAAAAGCTGTAAAATGTTTCTTCTTAAGGCACAAAATAAGCAGCAGTACAACTGAAGGCGACGTTTGCCTTTTCTCCTTCAGTAACATTATCTTTTCATCAAATCCTACTCTGCAGAAAAAGATGAAGAGAGACTCAAAAAGCCCTTCAAAACAATCACAGAACTGTTTAGGTTGGAAGGGATCTGTTAAGATCATCTACAGATGAGCCCCCCTGCTCAAGCAGGATCAGCTAGAGTACGTTGCTGAGGACCATGTCCAGTCATGTTTTTAAAATTTCCACAGATGGAGAATCCACAACCTCTCTGGGCAAACTGCTCCAGTGTTTGACCACCCTCAAACTAAAAAAGTGTTTTCTGGTGTTCACATGGAATTTCCTGTGCTTTAATTTTTGTGTTGACTGCCTCTTGTCCTGCCAGTGGGTACTACTGAGAAGAGTCTGGCTCCCTTGCCTTCATTCCCTCCCGTCAGGTATTTATACCCATTGATGAGATCCCCCCTGAGCCTTCTCCTCTCCAGGCTGAAGAGTCCCAGCTCTCTCAGTCTCTCCTCTCATGAAAGGTGCTCCAGTCCCTTAATCGTCTTCGTGCCCTTGAGCTGGACTCATTCCAGGAAGTCCTTATCCTTCTTCTACCGGGGAGCACAGAACTGGACATAATACTGCAGATGCAGCCTCACCGGTGCCGAGTAAAGTGGAAGGATCACCTCCCTCGTCCTGCTGACAATGCTCTTCCTAATACAGCCCAGAATACCGTTGGCCTTTTCTGCCATAAGGTTACATTGCTGGCTCACGGTCAGCTTGTTATCCACCAGGATCCCAAGGTCCTTCCCAACAAAGCTGCTTTCCAGCTGGTCAGCCCCCAGCGTGTGCTGGTGCCTGCCTACATCCTCCCCAGACGTAGGACTTGGCATTTTCCCCTTGTTCAACTTTCATAGATTCCTCTCTGCCCAGTTTCTCCAGCCTGTTGAGGCCACTCTGAATGGTGGCACAACCATTGTGTGCCGTGTGACCATGGTGTGTTGGTCATTCCTCCCAGTTTTGTATCATCTGCTGCTCTGTACCATCATCCAGGTCATCAGTGACGATGTTGAACAGTATTGGCCCCAGTACTGACCCCGGGGGTACACCGCTAGTGACTTGTCTCTAGCTGGACTTTGTGGCACTGATTACAACCCTCTGGGCCCAGTCGTTCACCCAATTTTCAGTCGACCTCACTGTCCAGTTACCTAACCCATACTTTGTCAGCTTGTCTATGTTACAGGAGACAGTGTCAAAAACTTTACAGAAGTCGAGGTAAACAACATCTGCTGCTCTCCCCTCATCCACCAAGGCAGTCACCTCATTGTAGAAGGCTATCAGGTTGGTTAAGCGTGCCTACCGCCTTGTAAATCCACGATGACTAGTCCCATTCACCCTCTTGTCCTTCTCGTGTTTGGAAATGTTTTCCAGGAAGATTTTCTCCATCACCTTTCCCAAGGACTGAAGTGAGGTTGGCCAGCCTGTAGCTCCCCAGATCTTTCTTCTTGCCCTCTCGAAGAGTGGTATTTCCTGTCTTCCAGTCTTCAGGAACCTCTCCTAATCACCGTGACTGTTCAGAGACAATTGAGAGCAGCCTCACAATGGCATCAGCCAGCTCCCTCAGTGCTTGCGGCTGGAACTCCTCAGGAACCATGGATTTACATATATCCAATTTGTTGAATTGCTCCCTAGCCTGGTCATCCTCCATCTTTCTTGTTCCAGACTTTTCCTCTGGTCTCAGGGGCCTGGGATTCCTCAAGGCGAGTTTTACTAGTAAAGACTGAGGCAAAGAATGCCCCAAGTATCTGTCTTTTCCATCTGTCACCAGTTCCCTTGCCCCATTCAGCAGCAGGCCCACGTTTTCCCTAATCCTTTCTCTTGCTGCTTATGTACTTGTACAATCCTTTCCTGTTTCCATTCGCATTCCTTGTCAGATTCAACTCCGGGTCCATTCTGGCTTTCCTAACCCTATCGCTGCAAGATGAGACAGCAAATGTATACTTCTCCGTCACCTGCCCCTGCTTCCACCTCTTGTATAGTTCCTTTTTACGTCCGAGTTCAGTTAGGAGCTCTTTGCTCACCCATGCAGGCCTCCTGCTGCTTTTGCTTGGTTTCCTACTTGTCGGGATGGACCCTTCTTGAGCTTGGAGGAGGACATACTTGAATATCAACCAGCTCTTCCAGACCCCTCTTCTCTCTGGGGCAGTATCCCATAGAATACCATTTCTGGGTCCATTAGAGAAAGACAATAGGAGTATTATTCTTGCTACAGGCTGGGAAAAGATCATGGAAAGCCAGATATTCACAGGTATGCAGCAGTTTAGAGAGAAGAAAAACCAACAACAACAACAAAAAGGAAAGTTCCTTGGGTTTTGTCCCAGAATATGCCATATCAGATAACATCTGGTAGGGAGAAGGCTCATTCTTTTTTTACTGAATGCATTCTTGCCACCTCTTCCCTCTAGGCCCTATAGTTGATCAGAAAGCAAGCAGACATATTTTGATATGATTCAAGTGCTTTAAGATAATACATCAGAAAGTTTGTTCTTGTTTTTAACGCATCAAACAATCTGCCTTTTTTGCTCTCAGGTTACATTTTTAAACTTGTGTTCTTTATAGATGGTTTATACACAACTAAGGCATATTTATAAAATTATTGCAATCTACCAGTTCCATAAATACACCAATATGTAGGAATATATGTAACAGCAATGGGGAACATATATGAAGGATGCAATCTGCTAATAAAGCACTATGTATGTTCTGTCAGACACATATTCTTGCCACCCACTCAGAGGCTCTGGAGAGAGAACTCAGACATACATTATGCATGCATGACAGCATGCAGCTATACCACACAAAATGTAGGCATGAAATGCCCTCCCCCACTTTAGCAAGCAGTGAATCACATCAAGATTTCACTTTGGGCATATCCTACCACTGTGCTAACTTCAGAATCCTGGCTTGTACTTCGGACCATAACTGCTGGTCCTCCGCTGGGAACAGAGTCAAAATCACTCTTCTGCAATCAAAACATATAAAGGACAGGAAGAAAAATCACATTAGTTTTTATCATAAGGAGAGGACATCAGTTCCCATTCCTTTGGGGTCTGGAATCACACACCTTACGCTTCCTTGGTTTATTTAGCCAGCCAAATAGAAACTACTGCCTGCATGTCAAAAAGATCATGGGGTCATACAATTGAGGAGTTTGCAAAGATCAGTCCCCTACAGGAAGGGGGGAAGAAATTTTACTGAATGAGCCTTTCAAGAATGCTCAAACCCTAAAAGTCTTCCCACAATTAAGTAGTGAATAGAAGAATCCTCTCTCTTACCACATAAATAAAAAAAGCATAGGAGCCACTAACCTGAGAACCTGAGGCCAAACTGAGGCCACTGTCTGCACTGATTTGGGATTTTTTCTCATCCGTTTCTCCCAAATCAAAGTGTTTCACACCTTCTGGCCCTGAGCAAAGGAAAAAGTAAATCATTACTGTAGCAAGAAAAAACAGTATGGCAGAAAGCAGATGACAGACTGAAAGCAGGAACAGTACCAAGAAAACAGATTTGCTTTCTCATTCCTTTGATTTTTTTTATTCCTTGGTACTGTAAACAACAAGGCCAGCAGGACACATCTACCATTACTTCAATGTTTCTTCAAACGTTTGAATTTGAAATACTCCAAAGTATTTGGACACTCCAATAGTCCAGGAGTGACTATTACTAAGCAGTACCTTTGTTAGCCATTCAAGAGAGAAAAGAGGACAGACAAAGTCAAGTAGCTTCCAGTTACAGTAACACATGCAGAGCAGTTGCCATTCAACTCTAGGAAGCCACTTACTTTATTCTTGGTAAAATAAAGAATATCTATTTACTTAAGGTGAGAATCCTTTTTTGAACAGCTAATTTGCTCAGTCTTGGACTGAGTTTGTTAGGTTGCCCGCAGCAACTATCTAGGCAAAAATCAGGCAACACATGACAAGAACATAAACAGCGACAATTGGTGTTACACCAGTAAGAATTTCAAGGAAGAAGCTGGGATGATGCTGTAGTTCACAATGTTCCCCAATTACATTAACAAATGGCTCTCCAGAGTTGGCAATCACATAGGTCAGTAGTGAGAGAGGGAATCAGCAAGCCTTAAGTCATGCATTCATTAACCCGCCGATCCGAAAACAAAAAAGGGGAAAAAAAAGGATAAAGAACTTTATGTTCAATTTCCCATGCAGTTCTAGAATCATATCATCTATCGTCCTCTGATGGGATGGCAGGAGGAAAAGAGAGTGATGGAGAGGTAGAGCCTGAAAAGAAATTTGGATAAGCACTGAACAAGGTAAATAACGAGGCAAGAAAAGAATGTGTTATAGACTGTACACAGAATGTCACTACTCTCAGAAAGGGGAAGAGACTGAATGCAACACTTCTGCCATATCCATATCTGCCAACTATTCAGTAACAGGAAGACATGATCAGCAGCTGGAATATTTGTATTATATACCCATGACTACATCCAGTATCTCTAAGCAAACAACGCCACTATCTCTTATAACCACTGATCACAACAACCTGGGAATTATGAACGTGTTTGTATTCTATGTAATATTAGAGAGGGTAAGACAGCGAAAAGGAAAGAAAAAGGGAAGGGAGTAGAGAGAGAGAGAGAAGGATAATATACAAAGATTTGTGGGAGTGAGTTTGAGATGGTATGTAAACTCATGAATAGCAAAGCCATAAGCGGGCTGTGCAGACCATACTAGTTTACTACTCAACCACCAATTCTCCATGCGAAGTGTTTTACAGAAACTGTTCTTCATTTGTTATAGTATTCTGCCTCTAAATCCATATGCCTTAGTTACTGTAAATCAAATCATCACAGATTCTAACAAAGAGAAAGTATAAACAAAATTTACAAAAAAGAAAAATAACTAAAAATATCCTTTCTAAGAATTTGGAATCTTATTTCCCACTGAAATACACACTGCTCACTTCTAGAGGTCTATTTCCACTCATTCAAATGGCCACCATTTCTAGTTCTGAATAACGATGCAGCAAAAAGTTTTATATCTCATTACTACAGCAAAAATACTAAACTTCAGCTGTGTGTTTTAAGCCATTTAAGAGCTCCCTGTCCCAACACATAATTCAGATATATTTCTGGCAATTTGACTTTTAAAGCAAGTGAAACTGGCTGAAGCAGTTCAGGTATTTCACAGCTGTGGGCAATACTGGTAACTGAGTTTAAGGAGGGCAATAACCGCAATCACATTGTTGTCACTATCAATTTACAGGCACTTACAAACCTCCCCTTCCCTTCTGTATGGAGTTGGATGTCTAATACACATAAATGACTAAAACCTCAATTTATCCCTCCCAATGTGGACACCTACGCGAAAGGCCCAGTTTGGGAGAGCAGGTGTGTGCACGTGCTATGTGTCTGTCTCACACACACTCCTACCTCAGCAGAAAGCAATTCAGATCTTAAATGCAGTAAAAGCTGTACTGCAGAGGTGCCCCATTCTCTCTGAACTAACTCCAGATGCTCGCTTATACTTAACTGAAGTATTTAACTGAGGAGCCTAAAACTAATGTAGCAAATCCAGGCCTGGTCAGAATGTCAGGAATTTTCACCCATTCATCTCAGTTATTAATCCTCCCCAACCTTCAGTCTGTAAAAGGGACATCAGCCCTGCAAAGTAGAAACTACACTTATGGTTAGGAAACACCTCCCTACCACATCATGGTTATTATAAACTAGCTATCGTCCGTATGTCATATGTCCCTATTTACAACAGTGATAATCAAAAGAGCAAAACCTTGTACTACACCTGCAGATAAGACATGTTCAGTATTTTATTCAGTATCATATTTCAGTAGATGTTAAGATTTGTGTAGATTTAGACTACTATTTAGACTCTGCAAACAGCCTCAGACTATTTCACTCCTCCTTTAACATGGGATATAAAAACCAAAATCATGTGGATCCCTTATTATGAGGCTATTCTCTAACAGCCATCACTAAATACAATTCTTCACATACACCTTCTCTCTCCCCCTCAAAAGTATTTCTTGTTGCAGACTGACTGTGGTCATAAACTGTTCATGGTTGATGCCAGGTAACAAAATTTGCCATCCCACAGCTTGAAAGAACAGAGAATTCTTCATTCCAGTAACATTCAGTCAATCAATCAATATATTCATGTCAAAGACTTGTTAAGCAAAACTGGTCTTTAACTTTTAAGAAAGGAGAGGGAACATCTTAAAATCCTTCCATATATATATCTGCTATGGTGAGGATGCAGAATATCTGCTTCCCCTTCTTTGAAGAAGGCAACATTCAGGGGAGGAAAAAAAAAAAAAGAAAGAAAAAAAAAAAAGAAGAGACATTTGAACACAATTTCCCCAAGGCAAACTGATCTGTTTGGTCTCCTCTATAACGCAGGCTTTCTTGATAGACCTTTGTTCTTGTGGGCATAAAAACTGTGTGCCATAAATGCAAGCTCACCCTGCACCTGGGGAGTTGGCAGTTATGGGGAGGCTGGAGGAGTCAGTTTCTACATTTTTTAATTTCCTTACTCGTTTTTTCCAAAGATTTTTGCTTTTTCACTTCCTGGTGCTTGTTCCACAATTCTACCCAAGATGCATTGAAAGCAGGAGAGAAAGAGAAAGAGTCAGCAGCTGGTCAGACAGGTGAAAATGGGGAAAAAATTTTGAAACAGAAAACCCACCCCTTCATTTCAAAAAAAAAAAAAAAAAAAAAAAAAAAAGGCAGAAATTTATGACAACTACCGAGTGAAGGGTTAATCAACACCATTTTACAAGAAATCAATGTTAGGAATCAAGCACTGCGTCATCTCTCATTTACAGAATTCAAATGTTAGAGATGCCTTCATACGTGAACCAACTAAGGAAAAACAGCTATTATGAACACATATAATGCAATTAATCACCTTTCCTGAGAAAGGCCTTTAAGATTGTCAGATATTTATTCCTCCAAAATGTAGGCATCACAGAAGCTCTAATTTACAGAAACATTTTTATGTGTCTAGTTTCTATCATTGAAAGGAAAAGGTACAAAAACAGCAGCAGCAATTCTAAGAAAATTAAAACCGTAGGTTAACACAATATTTAACCAATATTATATCTTAAAAATTATCACAATGTTTACAAGTACAACAAGTTATTTTTGACCTGACAGCATTCTCAACAAATGCTTGGCTCTGCCTATCAACCAGTCTTACATGCAAAAAGCTGAACTTCTCTGCATCCACTTGTTCCTATCAGGGTATAAAGAATGGAAAATAGGGAAGAAGAAGAAAAATGAGCAAGATATCAGTCATGCTTAATGCCAACTTCCAAAATTCAAGTTAGGTCACAGCACTCCAAATCAAGGAATTCCGTAAGAGGATACAATGCAGAGAAAAGGAAAAAAGTCTGAAGTCTGCATGCACTCTTTTCATTTGAAGCTTAGCCCTGAGACGAAACAGGGATGAGGCACTTGCACTTCTCTGTCACCCACATTCCTCAACCCTCTGAAATGCAGTCATCTCTTCTGCTCAGAAACATCAGATCATTCCCAGGTGCTGGCCTGTCGGCCAAAGGAAACATTACAAGCTGACATGCTGAACTGAATCTGAAGGCTGGGCACTGCCCTCTCTCACTAGCAGGGTTAAAGCTGGGAATGCTACAGAGGAAGATACTCTTAGAAAAGCAGCAAAGGCAAAGGGAAGGAAAAAGAAGTATAATGTTCTTCTACTGCTCTTTAAGGAAACTTGCAGAGCAACTAAAAGGCCACTTTGAAGTGTGTCAGAAACCCATCCCACCCTGCAAATGGCAGAAATTAGGGCAAGACAGGCTCTAGAAAAGTTCTATTTAGCAGAATGTCTATTGGGAAAAAAAAAAAATTAAAAAGGATAGTGCTACAATTGTGGAGGAAGGCTCCAAAGTATTATCATTAAACGTATCAGGAGCAAGGCAAATGTAGCAAGGGAAAAAACGCTAGAAAGACAGCTGCTAGCCAACTGATTTCTATATCTGCTTCATGATTGATGGATGTTCCTTCAACTTTCATAAGTACACAGATGGATAGGATAAAATTGCTTATGGATCCAAACAGCATCCTATAGGCTTATCTAGCTGAGCACGCACTGACACAGATTACAATCTCTTTAAGATGTACTGAATTTGTTTGTTAAAGGGCTTTGAAAACATCTGGCCTCTTAAGTGCCCAGATGCTCTATATGGCTTTACTTTAAAAACCACCAGGCTGAAAGCTACAATACCTGCCATTAAACTTCTTTTAGCTGACTTGCCTCTTAATTCAGGGTGGAGTATATCCTAGAACATTAAAAACAGCCTAGATTTTACTCTCAACTACTTTGTCAAACCTCAAAGGAAAAGGAAAGGAAAGGAAAACCTCAAATAAACTCAAGGGGCATAAAATACTATGCCTATGACTTTGTTACATGAGCCTGAACTAAACAGGACAGCAGGGCCAGAAAGGATCTGATGCAGACAAAGTAGGTAGCACAATCTTTTCTGTTTCAAAAAGCTGTCAAAATAAAGTGATCTGCCAGCATTAAACAATTATTTCAAAAGTAGTAATGGAAACTTCAGTAAGTACTGACATTTTCATTAATAGTTACTGCCAAGTATGCAGTAAAACCAAATTAACCACTAATGTGAAGGGGGAAACTATTAACTATCAACTTTAAAGCCACCAGTGTCCTAACAAAAAGGCCAAAACTACAGGTGATAACCACGGACCCTGGAAGACAAGAACCCCAGAAGTAAGCAAATAATTGGTGATCTTTCAGGAAACAAAGTATCAGAAGCATCATCTTCACAATGAATCTCCTAGCTAAGCAATTAGGTATTAAAGCACAGCAAAGATCAGTCCTCAACTGATAAAAATCCATTACTCTTCACCTCAGAAATAAGAATTTTCAATACTAACAGCCTTCCCTGTTACAAGGGAGCATCCTTCATACTTCACAGGTACACAAGAAACCACAAACATTCTGAAAAATGAACAAGGGGGTCAAGCGGGAACACATCCACCCTGAATTTTGGAAAACTCTGTGAACCTCCTGGCCGTTGTTCCTGTAGTACAAGAAAACTGCACACATTCAGCTAGATCCTCTAGATCTCAGAGATGCAGTTTAATCGCCACACTAACATACACTTTATGTATGGCTATTGCAAACAGTGCCCTACATGATTTTATTCCATCATGTTCATAGAATCACAGAATCATTAAGGTTGGAAAAGACCTCTAAGATCATCAAGTCCAACCGTCAACCCAACACCACCATGGCCACTAAACCATGTCCCTAAGCGCCTCATCTACACGTCCTTTAAATACCTCCAGGGATGGTGACTCAACCACTTCCCTGGGCAGCCTGTTCCAAGGCCTGACCACTCTTTTTGATGACTTACTTTTCATTCTAGTATTTTCTTTTGTAACTAGGTCAAAAGGTTAGCAGCCCAATTTGTATTTTGTCCATACAATACCAACAGATTCATTGAGACTTTTATTTACATATCTGCAACCCGAGGCTGTAAGCATCTTTCAAACTTCATAGAATCAAGGCACTGCTGAGGTTCAAAGGGACCTCTGGAGATCATCTAGTCAAATCTCCCTGCTCAAAGCAGGGTCAGCTAGGGCAGGCTGCTGCAGGACCACGTCCGGTCAGGGGTTCACTATCTCCACAGATGGAGAATCCACAACCTTTCCGGGCAACCGGTTCCAGTGTTGGATCATCTTCACATAAAAACATTTTTTTTCGTGTTTAAATGGAATGACTTACAAATATTTTGTTATTTCAGCCACATGTAAATGTTTATCAAATGCTTCTTCCCTAAGGAAGTTAGATTGAATGACAAAGTCTGCATTTCACTACAGAAGGAATTTCAGCCTAGCCATGACTAGCTCTGGTCCCGTACATCCAAAGTATTGTCTTATATTGAAGCTTCCATAACAGAACATAAAGGAAGTATAATAGCCAAGCAGCTTTAAATTACCTTCCTGCAACATAAGAGAAATTCCCTTTACTTCTAGATCTTAAGAGTCAGATGAACATGGACACTATGTTGTTTTTACAGCAATTTCTTAAAGACTGACTTGCATACTAGTTCATGGTTCTTGGAGACAGACAAAACCAGTTAGAAAAAAAGACTTCTCAAAAAACATTAAAGTCTTTCGAACTTTGATCAGTTTTGGTGAAACCGTATCCTTCTTGTAACTTAGTTCCATAGAAGACACGTGAAAATCATTAGAGCATCAGAACCACCAATAAGAATTTACCTGTTGCCTGTCCTTGAACACTGCGAACTGTTTAAGGCTAATATTCTGGCAACAGTAGTTAACATAATATATTAAGTTAACAGTAGTTAACATAATATATTAAGCAGCACTTCTTTTGAAAAGCACTTCTTATGATGCTTCACAAACATGGACTGTCTGATCTCTATGATTTCCATTTCTATGAGGCTTTAATTTCATCTGAGAGAAAGGAGCAGACTCAGCAATCCAATGAAAAGATCTCTCTTCATTCTTTAAAAGAACACTGGCCTACTGTCTGTTTCATTGGAAATCTGAATCTCTTTTACCTCCCTGATAGATTTTCAAATAGAGTGAAAGACTAGTTTCTGAGTAACTGCCTCCGTATATTACCTCTTGAAACGAGAAAGCAAATCAAGTCAGAGGGGTTCAATATCAGTTCAGAAGGACTCGACACCACTCAACCTGCAGCCGCTATGTGGGTATAAGAATGAATGTCTGCCCCCCTGCCACATAACTGCCCAATACACACCTTCCCTTGTCTTACGCCACACACTGCAGGTACAGCCTCACAGTAGCACGCTGCTTTCAGGAGATGAATCTTTCATACAATGATTCCAATAAAAAGTTATTTTAAACACACTATAAGAAGCAATGGCTAAAATTTAACATGACGTATTTTTGGAGTTGACAAAGAATTTCTCTCAGATGCTGATGGTACTCTTCTCTTGTTTACATTCCACAGCAAGTTGGATCCAACCAAAATATTTTTTTCTTCTTTTCTTCCCCCCCGCCCCGTCCCCCCAAAAAATCTGTAAAGCCCTTTTTAGGTAAAAGAGTTTAAAGCCTACCTTTAATTTTTCCCCAGACATAGGCAAAAGCTGTATCAGCTAAGAAATTAGACTGGGAAAATTTGCAGTGACCAGCCTAGCAGATGCTGTTTAGAAGGACACACATTCTATTTGCTATTGCATAGAAGGAAGATCCATCAGTCCTGCTCACTGAAACTGTAACATTACAACTAAAATTTTCTTAGCAGTTTTTATTGTTAACAATCAGCAGATCCTGGGTCCCACTTCTATCAGGATGCAATCTAGATAATCCACAGCAATGATTAGAAAACTTTTGTTTCATATAGTCCCTTCCACAGTTGCCCTTTCCAAAGTCCTGCTGGCCCTGTTTCCCTTTTGCCATTTCCTGTTGCTTGAAAACATCAATTACAGAGCCAAAAATAAAGTTGTCTAAAGTGTAATGAAATTCAGAAACAATTAAGATTAGAAAGCTTCTGGGAGAAAACTGCCCTGGATAGTTTATCCAAGCGTAGAGTGAAAACACGTATGATTGTTCCTTGTGATCCAAAGTGTAAATGAAGCATGTTACAGCAGCAATGTAGTGTGTCAAAATGGAGAGAATGCAAATAGAACCTAATGCCAAAACAGAAGTCCCTCCTGCACTTCACATGCACCTCAATACACACCAATGGAAGCAATAAAATTTTCTTCCTTTAGACTCCTTGTGTCAAACTCCCTTGGCCCTTTGCCTGCAGGGCTCGGTGCCTTTGGCATCAGCTGAGGTACCGTCAGCTGCGTCGCAGGTTTTGGCTCCACTCTTGGGGATGATGCAGGATCCCTGCCAACTGGAGTGATAGATCCATCCGTTGGGCTTCGTTTTCTCTTTTCTGGTTCTTTAAAGAAAAAAAAAAGTGTTGGGGGAAAAGAAAAAAAAGAAAAAAATAAGGAAAAAGGAAATGAGAGCAGGAAAAGGAAGATGAGACAGATGGTCTCACCTAAATCATTAAGCCTGGCACTGAAACAGCTCAGTCCCACATTTGTTCCCATAGGTCACCATGGCTTGCAGATAGTCTGACACACTGGTGGAAACAGTAGAGGAGAAAGCCAGAATGCTGTTTTTGGGATATTCAAATTATCTCCTTCCTGTATATTTGAAACCTAGGAATCTTCTTTGACACAGGAACTGTAGTATCTCCTCTGCTGAGTTGTGCAAAATTAAACAACTCTGCCTAAACTACCAAGAATATCACTTCCAGAATATAAGCAAGCTCCTCTCACAGTGAAAAGATGACAAATACAATAATCTTTGATGGGTAACACTAAATGAAACTTCAGATAGGAAAAAAAAACCCAAAAAACTATCAACTATAGCTCTTCCATCATTCTCCAAGACTTGCTATATTCAAACATCTCCAAAGGCAGTTTGGATTATTTCTCTGTATCAAACTCCACAGTTTGAATTACAGCAAAACTTTCAGAATAGAATAATTAAAATAAGGTTTTCCGTAAAGAACCTCCTGCAATCCTGCACAAGCTGTTCCAATAGCTGATGAGGCTAACAGTCAAAATTTCTTATCCTAATATCTAAATTTGTCGTACCACTAGACCTTGTGATACCTTTGTCCAGTAATCAAAGATTCTGCTATCAGCAACACCTTTCCATTTAGATAATAATTGAAAACAATCAACATCTAACATTCAACAGACTGAACACCGCCATCTTTCAAAGTAAAAGTGTTTTCCCAGCTCCTTGTAGGTCTCTTCAGAAACCCACTCAATTTTTCAAGATGTGATGATCAGAACTGGAAGCACTACCTCAGCTGTGGGTTTTGTTAGTGACATATCCAGAGATAATACAATAGCTGCATCCCAAATCTATACTGCCAGGTTTACACAGTGCCCCCCCTCCAGTTCTTACAGACACAGGAGACAGTGGGAAGTTCACCCATAGCTGCCATTTTCAGAGACATGCTTCCTAGGACATAGTTCCCAATCCTGCTATTATTGGTAACCGTCCTTGTTCCTGAACACAAGTCCTTAGTTTAGCCATACTAAATAAATTAATCACAACCATGCTTTATTAAGATTCAGCTTCCTCTAGACAAACAACCTATATCCATCGTGTCCTGTTCAAATAGCATGCATCATATGCAAACTGAACAATTTTAGGATTACTAGATCACTACTACATGTTAAAAAACATTAAGATAAGCCCTAATCTCTATAAAACATTTCTAGAAATATCCAGATCAACTGATTGGAAAAGGGTAAAACATACTAAACAGCTAAAATTTGACTACAAATCAAGATGTCATGCAATAGTGACAGAAGTCCTTCAAAGATGCATCAAGGCTTTAAAAGTTTATATCAAATTTTGTCTATTGTGACCACAATTAATTGACTAGGTAAACTCTACTTACCATCAAATTATGGCATCTGGCATTACATTAGCAAGACTTCACTCTAAAACCATTGAGTTTTACATCAGTCACTCTATAATTTTGCTTAGGATCAGTGTCAGACTAAAAGGCTTATAATTACCAAGATCAGCCTATTCCCCACGTTCAGGACTGTTACACTAGGACAGCCTTCCTTACCTTCCCCAGCATTCTGAAAACGACTGGAAATTAACACCTGTAATCCACAGGGCATCTAAGCCAACTCATAAAATCCCAGATGCAAGCCACCCAGAATACCAACTGTAAAGTGGTTAGTAGATGTTAGTCCTCTGCTACAATGAAATAAATAGCTTTTCATCATTTGAGGTTACAGCTGAGTCAAATATTAAGCACGGAGGTAGCTTTTTGTCAGCTTTTGCTCTTTTTCCTTACACATGCATTTTCTTATTTTGCATTAGAATCAGATTTTCAGAAAAAGCTGAAAAATAAGGAGGTATTTTCAGACTTTCCTCTCCAAGAGTACTTAGTGATATAAGAACCATTGTGTAATGCAAGATGGCTGGTGAGATATGTCTCATATGGTTCCACATTAGAAATATCTCCCTCCCTATTCAGGTTGTCTGCAAATAACTTCTCAAGACTGTGGTTGGGACAGTGTTAGCGGAAGGTCCCCACCCTCAGAATTTCCACTTCATCCGTAAAAGTCCCAGGTTTTGTATCTTGCTGCATAGTTTCCATTTTCAATCAAATATCAGTATGGTCATTATTTTGCTTTGGTCTGGTTACATATGTGCAAGAGAATGGTTTCAAGCTTTGTAAGGTTTCAGTAACAATGGTAGTTCTCACCTATTTTGAAAGTGTCATAAAACCCCTGAAATCTCAGAAGCCACAAAACAGCTACCTTGTTTGGTTCATAAACATTGTATTCTCACAAACGCTTTTCTTACCTTTATTGTAATAGTGAGTATGTGCTATCTCTAGCAGGCCAAAAACACTGGCCATACCTCCCAGGCCAGCGTTTGCATATGACTGTTCCAGGCTCAACACGGTGCACTTCAGCAAGTCCAGCATGCCTTTATAAACCTTGCGGCTGATCTCCTGCAATGAAAATCCCATTACTGTCACTATTTCAGAAGTGAGAAAGTAATTCAAGAACATAAATTCCAAAACTGCTATAACATCAGCTTTTAGGAGGCAATTTAACAAAAACTTTCTATGAATTGAGCCTCAGCAGACACTAGGTATGAGGACCCTGCTGAGTTCAGCACTGACCACATCCTGTATGACATCCTGTTGAGCATCTTCTTCTGACTGGATTGTGCGATTCAGCTTGCTTAGTACAAAGACACGGAGCTGCTCACTCTCCAGCAGACGTCGGACTCTCTTCATGTTCAGCCAACCAACACCTTGCCCATCAAGAACGTTGTGTACCACCTCCTTCAGGAACTGCTGGTTCTCACTGATGGATTTAAGAAGAAGCAGGCAAAAGTTAGCCCTCTGCTTGCCTTGGTTTGCATGGGAAGAGAGATATGGCCAGGACACACACAGAAATGCATTTCCTATCAAAGCTAAGTTTACAAGAAAAGAAGTTCAAATCTAGCTATGCCTGCTGCTAACGTAACTGCACACAGCCCAAGCTCTGTTCTATAGGTGTAGTATCAAATATTTTATTTTGTCTGTTATTTCCTATAACAAGCCGTAATCAGATTTTCCTCTAGCCCTTCTAGCTACCGCTCTACTTATCACCTTCACAGCACTCCTCAGAATCCATAGGAATCATCTATGCTACAACCTTCTCCCACAGCTGCCTTGTCTGACCTGTAGGCTTTCCTTGAAAGAGGAAGCGCAGAGCTACTAATAGCACTACTGCAGCAGCCTCGGCACGTGTACTGCTTCAGCTTGTTTTGCCACAGGGGAGGGAATGGTACGAAAAAGGGAACTCCTGTGCAGCCTGCTGCATTACCCAGTCTAAACTGCAGTTACTCTTCGTGCTTGTCTCCCCACCCCAGTAGCTCAAAGTAAATTGCACTCTACCCATGACTGCTACATAAGAAGGGGAGGAGAAAGCACAGGTACAGGCCAGGTAATGTTCACTTGCACCGTTCTGAGTCCCTTCCCAAAGCTGAGAAAAGCATTTCACATGAATTCATGGAATCAAACTGCTTTATATGACTCAGCTGATGCCCTACACGGTGCATTAAAACTCCGCTGGCTAGACTACCTTGTTCAAAACAGACTCAATTAAAAGAATAAATACTGAGTTAAAATAGGGACCTAGAATTTTTTGGATCTCAGACAGAAAGAGGATACGTTTCGGAGCACAGAAAAACACGTATGTGCACTATTAACTGTAAGACCATCCATACCGAATCTGCTCAGACAACAATACGTGCAAGCTTAGGGCCACAGAAAAGTACTATTTAGTTTTCAACAGCTAGAATTCTGAGGAAACATTGGCCAAGTATGAGACCACTCTAACAACACTTTATACTCAAAAAGCAATGAAAAATATTACCTGGAATTGCTAGCTCGTCCCTGAGGTGATGGAGACTCTCTTTTCACTGTTGGGCTGTGCTTAATGACTGAAGACTTTTGATCCACAAGGGCTCGTCTGTTTCCTAAACAGGAGAGGAAACAGGATGAGAGGAAGAGGTGGGAGGAAAACAGTGATCCCAGGACAGGAACAAGCAACGCTAAGGTTTGCTAACACACCTATTCGGATTACAGGTAACAGACTTAAACAAAATGGAAACTCCAAAAAAGCAGCAGCGTATATCATATTCTAGCATCACACATCGGCAGAAAACAGTAATGGGAGTAATGCAGAGAGAAAAAGAGAAGATGGTAATGGGAGCAGGAGGTGAAAGGCAGGAAAAGTTTGGCTGCTCTGCATGCAGTTCCACAACAAGAACCATCTTCAAATTAGTCACTATATGTAAAAGCATAATGCATCAGGGGTGACTAGTATAGATCATGTGGTACTGGTTACCCAGTGAGAAAGGTAGCCCAAAGTCAGGCATAGGGAATGCTGGAAATTGTTATATCATGCACAGCTCATGCTGTAGGGAACCCACCTTCATTGCTTACTGGGCCAGCTTCAGTAATAATCTCCATTATAGTATTTAACCCAAATACTGGGACACAAAATATACAATTAGTAGTGTACTACAATATCTACACTCCCCACCATCAGCACCAAAAGAATCCAACTACCAGCTTCTTCCCAGCCCTCCCTCAAAACAAAACCCAAATGACGCTAGAGCAGGAAGGATGCTTGGAAGCCCAAGACAACAAGGGCCAGCGTAATTAATCTTAGAGATAGTGCTTGACTTGAAATTTGGCATCATGGAACCAATGTAATGCGTCTTCAAGGATACTATTGCACATATTGTATTTCAAGGGCACTATCAAAAACATCTGCATCACTGAGGAAAAAATATCAATGGATGTGCATGAAATAAAAATTAAAAAGGAAGATGGAAAGTGGTCAAACAGCAGCAATGAGATGGAGTCCCAGCATCATTTCCCATTACAGTTAGAAACACAGGGTACCACACACACTTGGTAAGGACAAGTTAATGCAGCAATTTTATACCTGTACAACAGAGACAAAAACATTTAAAAACCAGTGAAGTGCCCAGTGGGAATCCCAGTGAGCCAGCGTGCACACGTAAATGAACAGGAACACACACACACACTTGCACATGCATAAAACAGACTGAGCTACTCCATGGAAATCCCATCCTCATATCTGCAGAGTAACATTAAGGGCCCTACAGGATTACAACAGTCAAGAAAAGAACACCAAAGTGCAGAAGATGAGGCGCAAAGCATGAACGTGGAATGGCAAACCCCATCACTGTTTTCTTCCAATGCATGGAATCAGTCATTAAGTTTACCCATGGAAATAACCCTGACATGAAGTGTGTTTCTTATCCAGTACAATTGGACATGAAAACATAACCAACTGGTAAAAGGTTGTCAAAAACAGCTGTGCAGAGTCTCTGCTAGTGTTTTCACCATACCAGTCCTGTTCCTCCTCATTTTACACACAGGGAATGATTACTTGTTTCAAAAACAAAGTCCAAAGCAGAAACACAAAAACCAGCTTTTGGCCTTTGTTTCTACAAGGTCAAAGGTCAGCAAAACATCATACCAACCTTCATCCACATCCCTTCCCACTTCCAGATTAAAGTAATCTTTACCGATGAAAATGATGAGGAGGAAAAAATAAATGAAAAAAATCAACATATTAAAACAAACGCAGTAAGTTCTAATCGGATAGAATAACTCAAAAGGTAAAATAAAACCTTTCCCCAGTTTAACAACTGAAAAGGTCTCAACACTGAAACACCAGCACGTGCTCAGGCACCCTTCTGTTATTATATCTGATACAAGGATGACCAGGCTGTCTGACTCCCCACGGTAAGAGGGTCATTTCTCTAGTGCCCATTCAGACATGTTATCTAAGGATACTGCAGCCAAACAGGAGATGTTCCAATGAAAAGATTGTGCACATAAGGGATCGATCTTCACTCTGAATGAGCTGAAGTATGGTTATAATTTGATTTTGATCAGAAATTTTCTATTTAGTGAACTGAAAAGACTATAAACACTTTTGAAAGCCACATAAACTGCAGTCTCCATGGTACGTTGGCATTATCCCCACTTACAAATGCAGCATCATTGCTCTAACAAGTTACCTAAGGCTAATCATGAGGAGAGTGGCAGTACAAAAGTAGGCCAAACCTCTTGGTTCCCATTCTTTACACTAAGTACTTAAAAATAAAAGAAAACAAAATACAAAACAAAACCAACATTCACAGCGTATCCATTAACACAAGCTAGACTAGCGAGTCTCCCATCCCAACACAGCCCAATTGTTGGGAAGAAGTCTGACTGAAAAATATCAAGACAATTTACTGTCTTGATACTTAAGACAGGTACTACCCAAACTACCAAAATGCATCACCCCCACGATTCCTCTTAGGGGTAAGACCTCAGACTGCCAAGTCACAAAAACTGTAAAGACTGTAGAAGACAAAGGGAAAAACGGTTACCTTTCAGGCTGGGAAAGGGAGTATTCTTGTCTCTCCCAACTTTGGTTGGTAGGGCTAAGTTGGACAGACTGAAACTTGTGCTGTGGTTTCTGTACAGGCTGCCTATAACAGAAGAAGAAAACAATTAAATTCCTAATGTTTACTGCACACACCCGAACTTCCTAAACTTCCTGTAATTCACCTTCTTATTCCAGCTCCTTAATGATGTTGTTCTTTATTACCCAAAAGTCTCACAAGCATAACATCATCTCATTTACATTGCAACCACATCTGTGATCAGATTATTCTAAATTGTACAAAAACGTAATTCTTAGCTTTCATGTTACAATCACTGCTGTTGTATCTTTGAGTCTTAAATGTAACAGCAATATCCACCTGTTTTTCTGCACTTCAACAGGTAACCTCACATTAGCTGTGTCTTCTAGTTTGACCCTCTTTTTAGGAGCAAATGAATGGTAGGGGCCACATGAGAAAACAGGATGATAGAAGATCTCCAAAGCATGTAATTCTGAAGTGAGGATTGTGCACTGTGCCTTGTGAAACACTGTAAATCTGCCACAGAAGCATGCTTAAAATAGAAGCTTTCCATTTATTAGGAGAAAACAAAAGTTCTTCCTAGTACAGACAGATCTTAAGAACACAATAATGCATCATCATCTGGTTAAGCCTGTAGACAGCCTGAAAGCATCTCATGTAGATCAACGAGCTGATTAACACTTCAAGATGTTCATTTACAATGTCAGCCTATTATTTCCATTTTCTTTGGGGGTTTTTTTGCAGCCTTATTTTAGTAACAATCATTTTACCAGAAACATTCAATATACTTTCCCCACTGCTGCAAAATTCTTGCAGTGCTTCCCACTATAGTGCAAGACTCAACTGGCCGTATCTTCTTTCACTCATTAAAAAACTCAAGATTAGTTTTCCACACCTGTGGATTTTATTATTAAAATATAATTGAAAGTAGGTGAGCACAGTCAAGAAATTGAACTTAGCACCTAAACACACAACGTGGTAGCATGGAAGGCATACTACTGGTAAGATTTTTATATCAACTTCATTAAAGTGCACAATTTTTTGTTTAAATGAAACTGAAAGAATTTCTGATCTGTGCCCTAAAGTGCCATAAAACTCAAGGGCCTGACCACATAACCAAAGTCCTCCTTACTGAAAAATACATAAAGCAGTAGTTATCAGCAGTGTAAGTCAAATAGGTCCTGTAGCTCCCAACATGACTTCTGGAGAGCTGGTAACAATTTGCCAACCAAGTCATTCTCTTGAGTAGCCATCCCTCTATTCCATCTCTCTGTAAACTCTAACATAATAAATAAAACCAGCTTAATGAATGCATCAGTACATACTTGCAAAAGACATGATGCCCCCAAAACCTTCACTGCTGTTGTTGGAGACAGTAGAGTTCGGGGAGCTGGCCCTGGAATCTGAATCTGCATCTGAATCATTGGCCAGTTTTAAACTGTTTGGACGGAGTAACTTCTGAGACCTTTAAAGAAATTAAGTACAACTGTTATTAGCTTTACTCCTTCCCGCCCCAAATCAACACGTCGTATGATTGTGGGAGATCGATGCTGGTCTCATGCCTCATCAGTTTTCACCACACTACCCTTACCTTGTGGGAAACAAAAAAAAAAAAAAAGAAAAATTAAAACCAAGAGAATTGAAGCATCTTTGTATTCAGGCTTGTATTACCTTTCAGGGCATGCTGAAAACTTGTCTGTAAAAGGGCATTGGTAGATTTGAGGGCGAAAGGGTTCTGCTTTGATAGCAACAACAAGAAAACCTAATGTCATCAATCACTACAGCATATTTCCCCCAAAAGACAAAGCTTCACAAAAAAAATCGCTCGAAGGTTTCCAGAAATCAGTATCTAGTAGATACTAGAATGTTTCTAGGAAGAACTGATAATTCTGTTAGCTCTTACTGCTTACATAAAAGCAAGGAACTGAAGGAACTGAGCGTGTGCCTTTACTCAAACCAGAATGGTTTATAGAATTTCAATATTAAATGGAAGTTATCAACAATATGTTTCAGGTGCAAAAGACATTTGAATGAATGAACGTTAAACTACATGAAACAGATGGAAACTCCAACAGTGCTGTACAGAAGGGCAGGAGACAAGGAGGACTTGCCTGCTTCCATTGAGATTCTGGTTAAATCTTGGGGTGTAGCTCTCTTCCTGCTCATCATCTTCATCCTCCGTAGGAAAACCATACTGTGGTTCGAAGTACGGATTGTCATACTCTCGCTTCCTCACCACCCCTTCTGAGGAGCTCATGCCGCCAGCTGCGCTGTCGTTCTCACGACGATCCAAGCTTATCTTGGGAAAGCTTGGTTGCAGTGGCAAGGAAGGGAGATGGTTTGAAAATCCAGCAACCAACTTCTCTTCCATTTCTGCTGAATCTGCTGACTCCTGTGGACCAGTCAAATCATTGATCTGTTCGCTAATTTGCGTTACATACAACTGAAGGGCAGGACAAGAACAATTATTTCAAACTGGGAAGTCTGCAGGGTCCTTGCTGTTTGTTACTGGGCCCCGACCCCATCCCCACTATCCGTGGCTCTAATCTAGGATTTTATATACGCTGCAGTATTTGTGCATTGTTCTAGGGACTTACTCCCCTGTAAAACGGATCTTACTGGTAAGTGTTAGCTCAGGGTAAAGGCTCTCCATTACCCTGTATTGTGGTTATTTACGCAAGCAACTCCTATTCTTCCTAAATGACCACAGATTCATGAGTTTCCCCACCCCACTCCCTGTTCTTTTAACTCATCAGGTCTTTCCAGACTCTGTAAAAGCAATTCCTGCAGTCACAACCTGGAGCACTGCTCTCTGCTAATGCTGCATTTTTCAATGCATGGGAGCTTCTATGTACAGGAATGCTCTATCCCAACGTAAGAAGGTACCAGTAATTCCACCTTGCCCAGAAAGTCCAGAAAGAGCATGCAATTTAATCTGTGCATGGTTTCACAGTCCTGTTAGCTTTTGCCCTTCTCTGAAAGAACCACGTGCATTCTCCCATTCTTTATATCCTAATACGCTGATCTTGGGGCTGAACTCATCTCAGTACACACATGATTCACTCCATGGATGACAGTGCTGGGGCTGCTACTGGCTGTAGTACTGGAACTTGAACGAGGCTGGTTGTTCTCTTGGGAGTTTTCACTGTCCACGGCCTGTTCATCCAGATCCCCTGTATATTCTTGAAAATCATCAAATTCCACTTCACTAGCATCACCAAGGGCTGCGTGAGTCAGGGGGTCAACATCTGCAAACACATCATTTTGCATTAAAGAACACTGCCTTCCTCAGCCTTTTACCCATCTAACTAAAGATCCCTAGCAGATGAGGACTGCTCAGTAGAATAAACTTGCATAAAAATTTAGGTTGTAAAGGACTTTTGGAGGTCATCTATTCCAACTCTCTGCTCAAAGCAGGGGTAACTTCAAAGTTAAAGCAGGTTGCTTAGGGCCTTGTCCCACTGAGTTTTGAAAGCCTCCAAGGCTTGACATTCTACTCTGATCCTGGGAACCTGTTTAACTACACTAACCATGAAGATCTTTTCCTTATGTCCAAGCAGAATTTCTTTTGTTGCAACTTATGATTATTACCTCTTGTCCTTGGGACATAGGAAATCTGTTGGCATTCCTAGATTTAGTTTATCGAAGAAAGTGAGTGTTTCCCACTCTCACAAGAGAAGCTATTGCTGCAGCCACCAGAATGCATTTTCCTGTCCCCACCAGGATAGAGTGATTCATTAAAGCCAGCACTGAGAACCAATATGCGAGGGCAGGAGAAAGCTTGTACTCTGCTGCCCATATTGCACCGTATCTACTGGCAGCAGCAGGTTGTTTCCAGACCTAGTGAGCCAGTTCAGCAGCACCTATTTCTGTTCTTCCTCCACCCAGTGTCCTTTGGAGGGGATTGTTTATAAGCAGGAGAAATGTCTTTTTTCAGCCTACCCCTGGATATTGAAGGAGTATAGAAGACACTTTTACCTCAGAGCAAGACCACAATGGAACAATACTTGACTCTGATTCAGGGACTTAGGGGAGGCATTTTTCCCACAGTGCAGATGAATGGGGAAGAGGAGCCTATGTGGACCTTGTGAAAGTACAGCTCAAAGTTACTCACTTGGGGTATCGCCATTAATGTCACATTTCATCATCTCACTGACAAAGTCACCAAGGGAGGAGTAGGAGGAACTTGAGTCGTCATAGTCGACACTGTCACTGCCACTGCCACAACAAGTGAGAAAGAGAGATGAGTGGCAGCATAACAGCAAAAGCAGGGCCTGATGTTTCAAAGATGTGAATCAGCACTGTTTTCATGGGCCTCTTAAAAACCTCATAATATTAGTCTCTACACAAACAAATTTCTGGCTAGAGTCAGAAGCCAGCTTCATGAAAGTCAGAGCAAATGAAATCACTTTGAGGTACATCAAGAGACATATGGGAAGACATTTAAAGGCTCTCAGCAAAGTTAATGAAGTCAAGCATAAGTGAGCAGGGAGTAGTGTATTAATTCTGTGCGTGTGTGTGTAGGATGACTTCAAGGGAACTCGAAATCACAAGCAAAAGCATTCCCTTTTTACACTAATGATAAATCCCACTCTACCAGGGCCACTGGTGCTGTGTAGAATGTAAAAGAAGTGCAAGTCCAAGCCTGAAAGATCTCACAGGCTAGCAGAGAATGAAGGATAATAAAACTAGATGCAAAACTCTGGGAAATATGGCCAAAATTACTATAAAAAAAGTTTACTCTCATTTTACTGAACACACAAGGAGGTCTCAGGCAGTGGGTAGTACTAACAGGCTTTGCATAACTATGTGCACTGAGTAGAGATTTGAAAGAGTGGTAGGATGGGTAGGAGTACTTCTAGTACTGCGATAGAAATAACCAGAGAAAGAACAGCATGGAAGAAAAAAGAATTAGGGTGGGAGGAAATATCAAATGTCAAGTGGCATACAGGTAGCAAAAGAAAACAGGAAAACACATTAAATGAAGGCTTAAGAAGACACTAGCAAAGGGTTAAGAGGTTGCTGTGATGCCAGAGCACTGAGACAATTTACTTCAGTGTCAGTATTCTGCCCAGACAGAAGAAATGAAACAGCAACCTGGCAGGCTAGAGGAAAAGGCTGCAAATGAGAAGTAGGAGAGGCCCAGCAGTCTGAAGTAACTATCATGTGACTGGGGTTATGCTCCCCACTAACCTGTCATCGGTGAGATCAGAGTCTGTTTCTTTCTCTACTGTGACATTCAGTGCTTCAGCCAGCTGTGAATTACTGTCATAGACTCGATAGTGGATGGGCTGCAGCTGGTGAGCGTACCACTTCGGTTTGTCACCAATCAGTGCTGGGTCAAACATGTCTGCACAACAAAACAAGGAGAGAGTTAATGGAACTCATTTATTGGTGTCAAAGCCTTCATTCACAGTGAGGCCACGCCCTACTAAGTCTTGCACAAAGGAAGGGACAGTCTCTACTCTAAGAAGCCTACAAGACTTCTTCTCCACAACCAAACAAGACAAGAAGTATAATTAATCAGAGGACTGAAGCGGCTAATAGCAGGGCTAACTTGGTGGCAACACATGAGGACATACATAAAACCAGAAAAATGTT